GCTGGGATTACAGGCACGCGCCACCGTGCCCAGCTAATTTTTTGTAGTTTTAGTAGAGACGGGGTTTCACCATGTTGACCAGGATGGTCTTGATCTCTTGACCTTGTGATCCACCCGCCTCGGCCTCCCAAAGTGCTGGGATTACAGGCTTGAGCCACCGCGCCCGGCCAACTTCGTCTCAAAAAAAAAACAAAAACAAGAAAACTGGGGTCTGTGGCTTTTAGAAGTGCAGATCCTAGTTCGAGCTGAATGTGCCTCTCTCTTACCCAAATTCTCACTCTTTGGATCATTCTTGCTGCATCCCCTTGAGGTGGATGTTGGGTAGCAGTAAGCCAGCAAGCCATGAAGGCGCCGTGGAGTTCAGGGCACGATATTGAATAGTTTAAGATGAAGGAATGTGAGAAAACAACAGGAGCAGGAGGGTGACTTTGGCCATTCCCCCCGCCCCACCCTTCTCCCCTGAATCAGGTGATAAAACCTAGGAAGAACTATAATCTTCCCTGAAGCAGGTCATGAGAACTTCATGTGAAAGGTGCCTTCCCTAGATCCAGAGAAAACTAGCACCCTCTTCCCTGAAGACAGAGGGACACCCAGGGGAATCTGAACACACAGGCCTCATTAAGTCCTCGCAGTTTATTACCATCAGGTCACGCTCTTAGCTCTATCGTATTTCTCCATGACTGTCTACTCTTCATCAAATTTTGCAGTTAAATACTAAGGTTTAACTGGTTTTCTTCAAATCTTCATTTCCTTATGAAGGCTTTTGTGTCATATGAAGGAACACAGGGAGCTTCACCCCCAAATATGGCTCCCTGGTATAATGAGTATCCTGGGCTTTTGTTTGTTTGAGTCTCGCTCTGTTGCCCAGGCTGGAGTACAGTGGCACGATCATGGCTCACTGCCACCTAGAGCTCCTGCGCTCAAACGATCCCCCCACCTCAGCCTCCTGATTAGCTGGGACCACACATGCGCACCACCACAACTGGCTAATTTTTTTATTTCTTTGTAGTGACAGGGTCTTGCTATGTTGCCTGGGCTGATCTCAAACTCCTGGGCTCAGGCGATTCTCCCGCTCTAGCCTCCAAGAGTACTGGATTACAGGTGTGGGCCACCACATGCAGCTGAGTATTTTGAATTAAACGCCCTCAGAGATCAACAGATGCTAGAAGAGACCTTCCCCTATCTACATAAAGACTGGACAGACCCACCAAGGAGAACAATTGCTTTTCCTTCCCCCATCCCCTGTCTCTCAGTCCTCTACCTGTCCCAAAGTGCAGGGTGAGGTTAGTCTCATACCTACCAAAGAAGGAAACAATTACTTCTGGTCCCTTCTAGGGGTTTTCATTGACTGAACTCACATCACAGTCAGGAAGACTAAAGTCTGCCAACAAACCTGGACAGACTTTTGTCCCAAATGACTGTCCACTGTGTGGTCCCAACCGACTTTGTCCCAGACCATTGTATGCTCTTCAAGTCCATTGAATTTCTTTAAAAATCATTGACATCTGCCTGCATCCACACTGCTGCATTCTCTTTCCCCTAAAATGTAGGGTATATAAGTGTCTGTACCCCATTGGGAAATTGGGCACTCACTCTGTGATACTCCACATGTTCACGTAGGTAATAAATTTATATGCCTTTTCTATTAATCTGCCTCTTGTCAGTGATTTTCAGTGAAACTTAGAGGGCAAAGGGGAAGCTTTCCCTCGGCCACAAGACATGAAAAACTTGTATGCTTTTTCTTTTTAAATGTTTTGTTATAGGAACCTCAGCCCTGAACCTAGGATAGGTAGAAAGATATTTTGTGTCCCCATAGTTTGTCCATAGGGCAGGGGAAGCATTTTGAAGCTTGTTTTTTTCACTCATGGGTGGGTGTTCAGCTTCCCAGTGTGAATGGCATGGGGGCTTGATGCCTAGTCAGAAGAGTCCAGAGACACATAGTGCTGCTGGAACGCCCTCCCCTTCCATCAGCAGCAAGCGCCCCCTGGCCGGTCGAAAGCAGAATCACACCCTTAATGCACACGAAATAATAATGAACAAAGTAACATCTGAAACACGATAGGAAGAGACCACTCGGAATTTAAAAAGACATTGCTCTGGATCAACTAAGAACAGTTTCTTTTTATTAAATCACCTATGAACCATTTAACGGAGATGCTCCTGAAAGGTGCATCTGTAATTACAATGGTGCCATAGCTGTATCAACAGGAAAGAGCTCTCAGCCAGGAAAGCACAAATGGCACGGAGAGTTTACAAAGAATTTGGCAATACAGGTAGGTGTGGTTTTCCTATAATTACAAATATTCTTCAAATAAATACACCTGAATCACATAGAAAAAAAATACAATAGCCTTATAAATGAGAAAGAAACCAATATACCTCTCCAGAATAACAGATTTAGAATGACCTGTGTATAACCAAATGCCTTGGCACTGTGTTTGCATCTTGAGCGACAAAGAAGCAGTACATAGTTTCCATTATATGCATCTATCCTGTACAGAGTCCATGATAGTTGAACAGCTGCAAAATTCCAATTTGTTTTGTGAGTAATGGCAGCTAAGTGTAAAATATTTGCAAGAACTGATTGTATATTAAGTTTGCCTACTCATCACTATAATTTTAAACCTACATACACCAAACCTACTATTATTTGTTTTTTAAAATGAAGTTATCTTATCTACATTTATAATCCTTTTCCCCTTTCCCTTGGATTTTCATTATAGCTAGTCACTTTCCCAGGAAAATGCAATATGTTGAAGTATTAAAGAGAAGCAAATCCAATTTTAATCCTATGTTTAAAAATGAAAAGCATCTGCCATCACCTAACAAAATATCCCCCATCACCTTTGTAAAGTGAACATTAACCTAAATAGATGTTAAATCGCTCTTTTCCCCACCCTCCTCCGCCCGTCTCATCTCTCCCTGCAAGGCAGCCTCGTTAGATTAGCGCCTCTTCTTTCTCATGCGTGTGCTGGGTTACAATTTAAATGCAAATAACCCTGCACCTCATTATCTAAGTCCGTGCAGATTCAGTAACAGTTGTCTCTGCCGAAGCCTGTGAAATCAAATAGAGGTTCATCTGTATTCTAACACATGGATTACTTAGAGTAATTTCAAAACAGCAATTCATCACTGCTTTGAAATTAAACACTGGACTTGCAGAGTGCCTAGGTTACGGAGGAATGCCTTCCTTTTACCACACAGGGAGGCCTTTCCACAAAGGCAATGAGATAGGAACTTTTACTGTAGCTGTTCAATTAGTTCCCAATGACACTAAGTAATTGAAATAAGAGACTTCATTTTAATACGAATACAGCTAGTTGAGTGGAAAAGATACATTTATGGTAATGCTAATCACACTAAGAAGACAATCTATATGCATTCCAAATACCACTAACAAGGAAATCATCAACAATTATTTACCAAACAGACGTCACTCTGGAAGACATATTTTTTATTTTTTATTTTTTGCAAAATCATCTTTCAAATATAAGGTTACTTTAAAATAATTCTTTGGTTAAAGTATAATTAAAATAAAAAGTAGAAACTCCTCCAAGCCTTTCACTACAGAGTGAAAAATACCCCCCTCTTTCAGCCATCAGATGGCCATTTAATCAGCCATTCAGATTCTATGAATCTAAATGTAATGGAAAACACTGTAATCTGAACTCCATACTGGGGTGAGCAATAAGCTCCTAGCTACCAATGCGGTGATGGTGAAGAGAGCCTGGGAAAATGAAACCCCCAGCTTATGCATTAAAATGTGCCAATTACTCTAGTCCATGGAGGAATAGATGCAGTATTTTAAAATCACAGGAAACAAAGTTCTATCTATGAATGACACTGGGGCATTACCAGATTGACGTGGCACACTTGTAGAAGGAGGAAACGGTTTCAGACTTTCAATCCCAGATTAAATCATTTAGTTAATTTCTTTTCACCTAGTTCATTTCAAATAAATTTCTACATTCGGGCACAGTGGCTCACGCCTGTAATCCCAGCACTTTGGGAGGCCGAGGCGGGCGGATCACAAGGTCAAGAGATCAAGACCATCCTGGCCAACACAGTGAAACCCCCGTCTCTACTAAAAATACAAAAAAATTAGCCGGGCGTGGTGGCACTTTTGGTCCTAGCTGCTCGGGAGGTTGAGGCGGAAGAATCGCTGGAACCCAGGAGGCGAAGGTTGCAGTGAGCTAAGATTGCACCACTGCACGCCAGCCTGGTGACAGCAAGACTCCGTCTCAAAAAAAAAAAAAAAAATTCCTCCATATAAGAAACCATTGCTTCTTATCTGTCAATTCCTTCCTTGCCCTTCCTTCCTTCTCCTCTCCCTATACATCATTTGTTCTAATAAGCATCAGCTTAGATCAAAAAGAACCAGCCACAACTTGAGGTTATATATAATATTAGTCTATAATTTTTGGATGTATGTGAAATTGAGTAATATAGTTGTCTGTTTCTGTTATTATACATAGATTCCACATGATTTCCAAATAATTTCTCAGTTGCAGTACGAGTTTCGTTTTTTAAATAGGTAAGTGTGCAAGAACTTAATGTGAATTCAGATGTTTTGGGCCATTTTGATAAGCAATTTGAATAATGAAAGCAGAGAAATACACTCTGTCTTGTTTTCCACCTAATTACTCAGAAAATTATTTCAGATGTCTATCTCCTTTTGCTTATATAGACCATTGCCTAAGGCAGTACCCATATTGGACTAAGAACAGTGGATTGTAGCCCAGTCAAACAGATGTATCAGATCATCAAAGGACTAAGACAACCTAGAGAGATGGAGCGGACAACCTATTCCAGACTCTATTTCACACAGTTACAGCTACACTGCTACAGTTTCAAGGTGAGACATTCAAGCATTATTCTGAGCACTCAACACCCACGAAAATTTGTGGTGAATCTGTTAAAGATTATGGATCTGATTAAACAGTGGATTCACTTCATTACAAATACCAGAAGAATAAATGGTAGCGCCAGTACATTAGCTATAACGTGACTTTTAAGACCTTTATTGGGACTATTCCCCCACGGCATTTAAATTAACATGTCACCACAGGTCTATTTCCATACCCAGAAGGTAGGTCAGCGTTTGTGCAATGCCAGAAGAAACCATGACTTGTTTCTCAAAATGTGAAATACATGACATATTTTTCTAAGTGACCTAAAAAAATACAACTATAGGCCAGGCATGGTGGCTCACACCTGTATTCCTAGCACTTTGGGAGGCAGAGGCAGGAGGATCGTTTGAGCCCAGGAGTACAAGGCCAGCCTAAGCAATATAGTGAGACCCTGTCTCTAAAAACAAAACAAAACAACTATAATCCTTTTACTGATTAACAAATATAGCCAGCATCAGTTCACATCCTCTTCTTTCTAGGGGTTATCAAGTTCTAGTTTCAAATACAAGCATAGATCTGTTTTTATATACCATACATTTTATGCATCTGAGTTTTGAAATGTAGTCAGTGTTACTACAACATATAAAGATTCATTTTACACTAACTCATGTTTCTTTAAAGGGCTGGCATTCCACTTTGCATACATCTTCTACAGCGTCAACTATACCACAGCAGACCGTCATCTGTGGCCATCAACTGTCAGATAGTCACACAATTAAACAGACATTGATAACTGATGATTTGGTTTGATTGTCATTTATTTTTCTTTTAAATAAACTCCCTCTAGATGCAGGAAGTAAGCATAATGAGAAACCACAGAATGTGGCTCTCCACATTTCCTCAAGTATCCCTACCTATATATTTTAAATTATCATAGAAAAACAAACAAGACGACAGCACAAGTAGCAGTGCAGCCATGACTGTCGTCGTTTAAATTAGTTCCCTGACTTACTATACATCCCTGGTATAGCTGATGCATTTGTGAATGTTCTGTTATGGTTGACATGTACTGTAAATGTACAACAACCTGACCCTTGGTATGGTTTGCAAACATATCCATATTGCACAGAATGAACTTCTTGCTGCAGGTAATGTATCTAACATACATCCGTTCAAAATGTGACATCCTTAACTAGTTAACATAGTCTAGAATCTAGGGGCAAAGACAAGCAAATATTGGTGATTTAGAAAAGCAGTAGCGCGTTAGGCTACAACATGTGTCATTCCAAAGTCACTTCCTATTTTGCAAGTTCTTTGCTCCTATGATTAAATACTTCACACATGTATCTTATCTTTCCTCCTGAGTATCCAAAAGTGCTTTGGAGAGCAAAAGTGCTTTGTCTCCCCATTTCACAGAAGCAAGGGGGGAAGGGCTGTAGCAAGAAGGGCCAGCAGCTCTAGAGAAAAATGTGGCAGTACCAGGGTAAATGTTAGCATCCTTAAGCGGGTGTCTTCAGCCAGCGACACTGGTGTGTGGGGTCTAATGAGGGTAGGATTTCATGTGTAAACTAAAAACAACTTTCTTCAGGGCATGTTTGCTAATAATCTTAAAAGGATTCCTCAGCTTGGCTCTGCCTAACTAGAAAATGGAGATCAAAAGAAGATTCCATTTCCAAACTGCCCTTTCAATGCTCCCTCAGCTGGCCTGGGCACACTCCTTCCTCCTGCCTCCTTTAGAGCGGGTCAGCCGCTCCCTCTGGAAGAAATGAGGCCCCTTAGCTGTGCATACCCAGAAGGAAGGAAACTTTCTCTGCTGTAGCAGGTGCCCCAATTTAGGAGAACAATTCTCCAAAGCCTTGTGAGCTAGGGAAGAGTCCAGAGAGAACACATTTTTTTCCCCTCCGAATCAAGTCTTTCATTTACACAGTCTCATCTGAAGAACTTTAGGTGTGAAAGGAAATATGCTAAATTATTCTGAGCTGTCCACTTAGAATGTGGTGTGGATCTTTCTACTGTTTTTAAACACACAAAAAGACAGGTCTCCAAAAGGCCTTTTCTTCTTATTCACTCCTGTGATTTATTCTTGAAGCAAGGTCTCTCTCCAGTTGAAGCCCCCAGTTGGTCCATGGGTAAGAGGAAGGATTGGTGGATCTGTCAGCTGCCATATTCCAGTTTCACCTAATTCTTCACAGGAACAAAATCCCAGATACGGGATCTGAAGTAAGAGTTGTAAAGAAAGGGGATATTAGAAGATAGCTTTACTGCTTTAACTTTTACCTAGATACAAAAATATTCATGTGGCCCTAGAGAATTGCAGTCAGAATGAATAGAGGCTTTATAAAAATGCATTCCCTTCCCTTCAAACATCAGTAAATAAAATAAAATGGATAAAACTGATAACTTAGAGGAAAGAGTATTTATACAGCAAGAGGATTCATCAGAAGGATCTGGTAAATGGTGACCTCCTCTAACATAATTAAGTCAGTGTTCATAGATTGCTGCTTACTTGGGTGAAAGAAAAGAGGACAAAATACATAAGGCTACAATGCCAGGAGTTAATTCCTAATTGCCAGTCAAGTTAAAAGGCAGCTCAAGGCCGGGCACAGTGGCTTATGCCTATATTCCCAGTACTTTGGGAGGCCGAGGTGGGCGGACACTTGAGGTCAGGAGTTCAAGACCAGCCTGGCCAAAGTGGCAAACCCTGTCTATACTAAAAAAATACAAAAAAATTAACTGGGCGTGCTGACATGTGCCTGTAATCCCAGCTACTCAGGAGGCTGAGGCAGGAGAATCACTTGAATCCAGGAGGCAGAGGTTGCAGTGGGCCGAGATCGTGCCACTGCACTCCAGCCTGGGTGACACAGCACTCCAGCCTGGGTGACACAGCAAGACTCTGCCTCAAAAAAAAAAAAAAAGAAAAAAAAAGAAAAGAAAAAGGCAGCTCAAACATTTCTGAAATTATACTTGAACCCAATGGAAAAGATTTTTCAATTGCAAAATATTTGTTTCACCCGTTTTTTTTCTCCCTATGAGTCTATAACATTCAAAGCTGAAGCTGTATTCTCCCTCACTTCAGTCATCACAGCAAATTTAAAACTTATTTTTGTCTGTGTCCAGAGCTGCATTTACAAACAAGACAAAATTCTGTCTTCCAAATGAGAACAGATGCATAAATAAACTTTTCAAAAATGTGAAAAAAAAATTGCAATTGAGTTTGAACCAGGTTCTCTGGTGGCAGAGAAAGGAAGTATGTAATTTGCCTGAAGGGAAACGTGTGGGAGGCAGCTGACCAGAAAGCCTCTCCCATAGGCACAGAAAGGAAGACTCCAGATGTGTGGGGCAGCCTCATGGGTTTTCTATCTTGCTGTCTTGTTCCTGGCTTTGCCTTTTAGTCTCCTCATTTTTCTTTCTTTTTTTTTTTTTTTTTGAGACGGAGTCTCACTCTGTCGCCCAGGCTGGAGTGCAATGGCGCCATGTCGGCTCACTACAACCTCTGCCTCCCGGGTTCAAGCAATTCTTCTGCCTCAGCCTCCCGCGTAGCTGGGATTACAGGCACATGCCACCGTGCCCAGCTAATTTTTGTATTTTTAGTAGAGACGGGGTTTCACCATCTTGGCCAGGCTGGTCTGGAACTCCTGACCTCCTGATCCACCTGCCTCAGACTCCCAAAGTGCTGGGATTACAGGCGTGAGGCACCGCGCCTGGCCAGCCTCCTCCTTTTAAACTGCTGCATGCCTCGGACTACCTTCAAGGACCTGTCTTTGAGTTAAGCTTTTGAATGCTGTCTTTTCGACTGACAGCTATTAATCCAATCCATGTTCCCTCAGGGAAATCCAGACAATTTGCTTATAGTTCCTAGATGCTTCCTACATTTTAGCTCCTAGAAGCTAGAATGAGCTCTAACACAGTTTTTCTAACACCAAGGCCTATTAAAATGCCCTGCACAGAGTATCATTCAATACATCTTGGTCGAGTGAATCAATAAATGAATATTCCCAGCTCGGCATAAACACGTGCTTCAAAGAACTTAGTAATCAGCCAGTCATTGTGCTGACCTCAAACTACGAGACACTACAGACCCCAAAGAACAAGCATGAATTACCTTTCGGACCATTTGTACAAAGTCCTTGGAGTTCTGAGGTGACAGGCCCTGAAGTTGGCAGGTACACGCTTCAAGGGAAGATGCGTGGGCCACAATCAGGATGTTATTTCCTGGGGGAAAATGGCAAGGAATAGGAAGACTGTTTCTATAAACACATGAAAACTTTCCAAATACTGGAAGCTAACTAAATGCTCTGGAGGGGAACAAACACACTCAAGAAGACAATTTGCCTAAGCAATATTTTGAAAGTGCCTTGTTATTGCTAAGGCAGCTTAATTTTTTTTAACCAAAACTTTTTATCTTAAAATAGTTACAGATTGATGGGACCAGGAGTGACGACTCATCCCTGTAATCCTAGTACTTTGAGAGAACGAGGAGGGAAGATCATTTGAGCTCAGGAGTTTTGAGACCAACCTGAGCAACATAGTGACACCCTGTCTCTATAGAAAATTAGACATAAATTAGCTGGGTGTGGTGGTCTGTGCCTGTATTCCCAGCTACTTGGGAGGCTGATGTGGGAAGATCACTTGAGCCTAGAAGATTGATGCTATAGTGAGCCATGAGTGCATCACTTTACTCCAGCCTGAGTGACAGGAGCAAGACCCTGTCTCAATAATAATAATAACAATAATAGATTTATGGAAGGGTTACATACATATACACATACATACATACCAGCGGTCCCATGAACCCTTCATCCCAGCCCCTCCAACGATAACATCTTATATAACTATGGTACGGTATCAAACCCAGGAAATGGACACTGGTACCATACACACTGCATATTCAGATTTTAGCAGGCGTGCAAGCAGTCGTTTGTATGTATGTGACGATAGAGTTCATGCAATTCTATCACATGTGGAATAGCTTTGTGTAACCACCATGACAATCAAGATACAGAACTGTTCTGTGTCTACAGGGCTCTCCATGCTACTCCTTCTAATACAGTTTTTTGGACACGGAGCCTTGCTCTGTCACCATGCTGGAGTCCAGTGGCGCAAATTCAGCTCACTGCAACCTCTATCTCCCAGGTTCAAGCGATTCTCCTGCCTCAGACTCCTGAGTAGCTGGGATTACAGGCACGGGCCACCATGCCTGGCTAATTTTTGTATTTTTAGTAGAGACAGGGTTTTATCATGTTGGTCAGGCTGGTCTCGAACTTCTGACCTCGTGATCCACCTGCCTTGGCCTCTCAAAGTGCTGGGATTACAGGCATGAGCCACTGCACCTGGCCTCTAATAGAGTTTTAAATGTTCCCACTGTAGAACTGTGAGCACTTGAGACTTTCTGGTTGACAGAGCATGTTATGTACCTTTATGGTAGTGAGTGGCTAGTCAATGAAAACTGGAAGGTGGGAATCATCCATAATACTGTTGCTCATGGCTGTCTACTGTTAACATTTGAATATAAGTATTTTAACTTAAAAAATAAAAAGAAGGCCGGGTGCGGTGGCTCACGCCTGTAATCCCACCACTTTGGGAGGCCGAGGCGGGTGGATCACGAGGTCAACAGATCGAGACCATCCTGGTCGACATGGTGAAACTCCGTCTCTACTAAAACTACAAAAAATTAGCTGGGCATGGTAGCGCGTGCCTGTAATCCCAGCTACTCAGGAGGCTGAGGCAGGAGAATTGCCTGAACCCAGGAGGCAGAGGTTGCGGTGAGCCGAGATCGCGCCATTGCACTCCAGCCTGGGTAACAAGAGCGAAACTCTGTCTCAAAAATAAATAAATAAATAAATAAATAATAAAAAATAAAAATAAAAAGAGATGAAGGGAATGTCCATACTTTTTTTGCAATCTTTTTCACTAAAAAATTTATTGTGAACAGTCTTACGTATTAAATATTTGAGCTCAAGGTTTAGAAAATTCAATAGCAGACACAGTTGAGCCTTAGAGAACACAGCTCCTGGTTGGTGATAGCAGGGAAGGTCTGTGTGTTTGTGTAGGTGTGTTGTGTGTGGGTGTGCTGCATCAATTATAGGCAAAACAGTGGCATTCTAGAGCTTTTGGAAATTGTAAGAGGGAATCCACGCCATAGAGTGCAAGATGAATAGCTGTAATGCAGAATTTAAGTTATTAAGAATAGTAAATAAGTCTGGTGTAAACCCCTGTAATATCTACCATTTTAGTTACTTAGAGAATATTACAAATTTAATGTGAAAGTACCTAGAAGAAAATCTGGAAATACATTTCTTTCCTATTAGACAGGTTAGCCAAAGCAAGCGGAAACATCTTGAATAGCCTATTAACCGTTACAGAGAGATGATCATGTATGCAAAGGACAGAGTCCAGAACACCACCTACCTTTACTTTTACATTCACTTATTATTTCTTTTGTCACTTGGAAACTTCTACTGATGTAAGTATCATAGGATTCTGAAACAACTAATTTGCTGACTGGAATGTGAGGTCTGTAACAGAAAAATGAACAAACGAAATGAAAACATTTTGATCTTGAGACAAAGAAAGATATCACTCTAAACTTTTATTTTAAGGCTTTTCTAAAGTTCCCATAGATCTGTTTGTTTATCCATTTCCCTAGAAAGGAGAAACGCAGAGGGAAGTATATTTCCGCTATATGAACATGGAGTGGAAATGTACAGAAATAATGGTTATGTGTACGGCATCACAGTGACCAGTTGAGAAATGAGACATTCAGTGCATGTTTCACCCACGGGATAACATATAAACCATTGATTGATGGTCCTAGTCACATAGCTAATACAAAGCAAAGCAGAGGTGCAACCCTCAACCTATTTAGATCAACAGGGATTTCCCAGGCCTCTCTTCAAGAGCTGCAAGGATAGGTTTTAAAAGCAGATATTAGATCCAACTGATTCTTTGTGAGTTTATAAAATTTTCACGTCTTTTCATTTTATTTCTCTCTTAGTCTGAACACAGACCACACACTTGGCACAAGGAGAAGTGCAGAGCATAAAGATGAAGACAATCCAATTTCTGTGCTGGAGAAGTTCTCTGCCTGTGGTTGGGGTGAAGAGGCTATTGATGTAAATGATAATTAGAATACAGTCCACAAAGGCATGTGATGTTGGCTGTGTCCCCACCCAGATCTCCTCTTGAATTCCCACATGTTGTGGGAGACAATTGAATCATAGGGACGGGTCTTTCCCAAACTGTTCTCATGACAGTGAATAAGTCTCATGAGATCCGATGGTTTTAAAAAGAGGAGTTCTCCTGCACAAGCTCTCTCTCTTTGCCTGCTGCCATCCGTGTAAGTCGTGACTTGCTCCTCCTTGCCCTCTGCCATGATTGTGAGGCTTCCCCAGCCATGTGGAACTGTAAATCCAATCAAACCTTTTCTTTTGTAAATTGCCCAGACTCAGGTATGTCTTTGTCAGCAGTGTGAAAATGAACTAATACAGCATGGAAGAGGATGACAAAAGAGGGGCCTCCTGCTCTGGTGCCCCCGTATGCCTTCAAACCCAGTCACCAGCGCCCTCGGGGCCTGCCTCTGCCCGCCTCCACCCCCACTTGACTATGTAGAGTTTCTGTGTTGTTGCTGGTCCACAAGATGTTTATCTTGTTTTCTGGGCACAACTATGTCATTTCAGTTTTCTTATTTTGTCAGTGTTCAATTATGTCTTTCATTGCTGGGTGTTTAGTGCCTGGTGGAGGTGTGGTGAGTTCTCAAAATGAATTCACATGGTTTCTTGATCAGAATACATTGTTACTGCTACTGTTAGCACTGAAAATATTAACTTAGGTTCCCATATGTGTCAGGCTCTGGGCAAGCACCCTACTTAACATTCTTTCAGTCTAATCCTTCCAGCAATGCTTTCGTAAATGCTTTTTATGGATGACAAAACAGGAGCTCAGAAAGGCTGTGGCTGACCTGCCTACAGTAATACCGTAAGCAACTCTTAGAATCTGCGTTTGAATTTGGGTCTAGGTGAGCCTATCCTCCACATACAGCTTCTGACAGTGTCCTTGTTAAGCCTGCGCTTCTGTGCACATGGGCTTTCTGTCCAGAGAGGAAGAATGCCACTCCACTTGAAAGAAATTTGCCCTTATCCTGCATTCTCTCAACATGCATGTTTCTCCTAGGAAACTGCCTTCTGAGTCTCACAACACCCTGGGGGATAGGTAGAGACCTGAATCACCACTTGTTAGGGCTGTACCTCATTGTTCTGGAGAAACTCTTCTCCTCTTTTTCTCTCCCCAACCCCACCTCACACTCAGTGCCATCACCATTTATGTCACCTGATCTCCCAGGCCCGTCCCCTCCCCACAGTGACAAAAGGCCACATTGTATGGCCCAGGGAGTCATTTCAAGGGTGAGACCAGGTTGTAATGTGTGAGATCTATGTAGGTGAAGAGCAGGATACATGCTGGGAGTTGGTTCCTCCTGATCAGTTCTTGCCTATGGCTTCTCCCAGCACCTTCAAGTGAAGCCTGTGAAGATAGTCTCTATTACCTTAGACAGAAATAGTGTCCAGTGTCTGACCAGCCCTGATGGGCTTGGCCTGAGTCAAAGCTTCCTCACCCCTGTCAGCAGGACGTGCCCTGCTGCTAGTCACACCTGCAGGGCCTGTACTGTCCTCGGAGTCAGGTAGCCTTCCCACCAGCCACTCAACCCGGCACGCAGTGCTCTGGAAGTCAGGTGCTATCACCAGGACCGTATCCTCCCCCAGATATTCTCCTGCCATGATCCAGGTTGGAAGCACAGGCCTCTGCTTTGAGCCTCACACACCAAAGTTTGATTTGTTTCCCCTCTAATGCTCCAGATCCATGCCCTCCCCTAATCCCCTGCCCTCTGAGTCACGGCCCTGTTCTGCAGCCCCACCCAGATGGTGTGGATTTTGTTTTTTCTGCCTTGCTCCTCTGGCTCAACTCCTGAAGCCTGGGGTTGCTTTGTAAGCCCCCAGGCCCTTGGTTTGGCTGCCTGTGGATGGTGCTTTGCTATTAGTCACCAGCCTGGTTAGCTTCCCTGACTTGGCTTTCAGTTCCACCTCCCTCCTGTTCTCTTCCTATCCCTGCTGCAAGGAGAGAGGGCTCTTTTGGCAGAACCTGCCCGACTCACACTACCCTGGCTCTCAGGGCTTGCCCTTCTGCCTGTCACCACGTATCTTCAATCATTTGGGCACCACTTACATGCCTCCAAAGGCTTGTGCATTTGGCGCCATTAATTTCATAAAGAATTAAGCTCCAGGGCTGTCTCTTTCACATGCTTAAACTTTGGCTTTCTCAACTGACTTTTTCAAAATTAGAGGCTCCATCTCCTCCCCTGATTCCCTCACCAAGCAGAAAATGGTTGATTTGAACTCTGATTTGCTGGAGAGGAAAAGGCATCTGGAATAAGGACCATGTCCTGATCCCAAGTTCCCGGCATTCATCTTTCTGCTCACACTGCTGGTGGGGTGTGTATCTGAGTGTACACTGACAGGCTCAGCTAGAATGATTCTGGAGACCTTTGAAAGGCAGCTTGGGAGGGATGGCAGAACATACCTAAAGCAAATATCAAAGACATAGTTGACCTAAGTTGGTCTGAGTGGGGCTGGTGGTGAATGATGAAAGTCATTTCACCGATGTTGGTGGCAACTCCCCTCTTTCCAGGCCAAACAGATGGTGGCCTTTGGATGGGGACAACAATTTATTGCTAATTCCCTGCAAAGACCAGCAAAACAGCAGCCAGAGAGGGGACAGAACAAAATGTGAAGTGCGTTAGTAGGGGATTCTGTTGATTGATCTAATTTTATTTTTGAGGAATGCCAATTCCTTTAAGACAAGAAGCAGCAGCACATAACTAGTTAATGGAGTTATCTGAGGTCTTATTTGCTGAGAAGAAAAAAATGAGTATGGAAAAAGAAGATATTTTCTATTACCTTAGCCAGAAATGCACATTGCTTTATTTGTAGTTTGGGTAGGTATTTCAAATGAAAAGTCAACAGGTATCACAAGTAAGAAAGTTCTGCTTATATTGACCACTTGTTACAAACTCTGCCTTAAGAAATATGAGCTGACTGGTCTGAGTGCAGTGGGTCTTACAACTAACTGATCACAACCAGTTACAGATTTCTTTGTTCCTTCTCCCTTCCCACTGCTTCACTTGACTAGCCTTAAACAAAAAAAAAAGAAATATGAACTTAATTCCCCATTATACTGGTTGTGACTATCTGTCACAATCAAAGAGATTTTTACGAATACCTGAGCAGACTTTCGATGGTTAATGTAACTATATTATTATTGATTAATTCTTGATTGTATACATGTGGATTATTCATCTGTAAGCAATCTACAAACACTTTTTAAAATCCCAGCACAGTTGGGTCTAATGGAAAAAAGAAAGGAACAGGAATGAGATGACTGCACAGCGGACTGCACGGGGCTTGGCTTGTGGAAAATGATGAATAAAGGTTATTATTATTGACATGTGTGATCACTAAATGCACATATACCTTTAGGCAAGTCATTTGAACTCTCTTCTATATAAAAATGGCTTACCTACATTCTGGGGATATAGCAATAATAAATAAAGATAATGCAGAGGTTTAAAAATGCTTTGAAAAATTAAATGTAAAAAATCTAAGACAAGACATCATCCTCTTCCTTATCACTCCAGTCTTCTCAACTGCAACATCACTAGCTGGTGCTTATTGCTGGAATGCAAAATGGTTTTATTACACTGAAATAGTATAATAAAGCAGAAAAATCCAACACGGGGCTGAGGCTGGAGAATCTAATCCATGTGAATGCCAAATATGAAAACAAATGCTGGCTTTTCTCCAGTTTTGATTTCTAAAATCATAGCTTGATTTCTACCACTATGGAGAACTGCCTGTAGGTGACGTCTAGCCCTGTCTTCGGCCTAGAGCTAGTGTGGAAAGCACTTCCATACTGGCCTCAGTAAGCAGCAGTTTCCAAGGCTTACCTGTAGGTTGTATCAACACTCAGGTTGGCTGCAGCTAACTCTGATGGAGGTATCCATGCAGGTAACGTGTTCCCAGCAACCCACTTTGTCCACTCAAATAAGCCAGGCTCTACACGGATCTTCAAGTGATTTTCTTGTTGTAAACCTTTAGGGGTAAAATACGGTGAAGATGAAAGAAGTGCCTCTATATTCTCAGGCCAAATTGTTACAAAACTGATAAATAAGCTATTCTCTTTCCTACTGGCTGGTATATACAGCTAACCAGAATTGGAAGCATGTGGATTTGGACAAGGGTTTTCAATTTTTGTGCATACTTAACACATGAGTTTAATACTCTTGCCATACCGCCAGGATGTATGCTGGCTTTAAGTCATATCTAACTTAAGGAAAAAAGCCACAAGTCATTATCCTTATAATTTATTCAAGGCTGGGTGCTGTGGCTCACGTCTGTAATCCCAGCACTTTGGGAGGCCGAGGCAGGCAGATCACTTGAGGTCAGGAGTTGAGACCAGCCTGGCCCACATGGTGAAATCCCATCTCTACCAAAAATACAAAAATTAGCCGGGTGTGGTGGCATGCACTTGAGGTTCGCGCCTCAGGAGGCTGAGGCAGGAGAATCACTTGAACGCCAGAGGCAGAAGTCGTAGTAAGCCAAGATTGTGCCTCTGCACTCCAGCCTGGGCAACAGAGCGAGATGCTGTCTCAAAAGAAGAAAATTGATTCAATTCTATGACTATCATAATTCCTCTTTTTTTTTTTTTTTTTTTTGAGACAGAGTTTCGCTCTTGTTACCCAGGCTGGAGTGCAATGGCGCAATCTCGGCTCACCGCAACCTCCGCCTCCTGGGTTCAGGCAATTCTCCTGCCTCAGCCTCCTGAGTAGCTGGGATTATAGGCACGCGCCACCATGCCCAGCTAATTTTTTGTAGTTTTAGTAGAGACGGGGTTTCACCTTGTTGACCAGGATGGTCTTGATCTCTTGACCTCGTGATCCACCCGCCTCGGCCTCCCAAAGTGCTTGGATTACAGGCGTGAGCCACCGCGCCTGGCCCATAATTCCTCTTTCTAAAGCAAATTCCGCGATGGTCTTACCAAGAAACTTCAGATAGTATCCACTAGTCTATAATAGCTTACATCGTAATTGAATATCATGTAAATTACTCATTTTCTCTATCAGAAAATCTAATGCTGAACATTTACTAGTAGCAGTGCAGAAGTCTTCTGCTTTACTGTAGTGTAACTGGCCTCCTAGAAATGGTCCCTGCTTAGTTATCTTTATATTGCATGTAGTCCAGTTGCTCTGTGCAAATTTAATACATAAATGCCTTCTGGTAGTGAACAGGTTTACTTAAGGTTAAAGGATAGAAGACTCAGATGCAGTGTGAAATTCTTTGTTGGCTTGTTTATTTCTGGCTGATTCACTTCTTTGATAGAAATAAACAGTCTAACCCTGTTCCTTTTAGTTTTCCTTCCCATGAAATGAGAATGGAAATACCTGTAACTCACGCTTCCACAGATTTTAGGGTGAAAGTTGAGTATTTTGGTAGCAATGTTGCTTTTAAAATCGTTTTAATTCAGTAAAGAAAAACAGATGATAAAGATTTCAGACCCCCAAGAGCACTGTAAACAGGAGGCAAACAACAGATCAAAGCAGGAAAGTTATTTGACTATTAAGCGTAAAGAAAGGATCACACTCTATAACCTAAACATTTTGCAAGCCTGAGATTCATCCAAGAGTGCTTTAAATTATCAAGAAATACATTATTAGTATACTTCCCTTTATTTCGCTTAGGCTGCCAGAGTATGTTTTTGTGACTTGTGCAAAGATTGCCCTCCGAAAGAATCCTCCCTTCATTCCAGATTCAAAGTTTTCAATTGGTGAATGTCCCATGACTCTAAGATAATTTATGTGTGGGGCTGCCTGGAGGCAGAGAGATAGACTACTTGCTTTTGTCAACCTGCAAATGTTACCTTTCAAGATATTGTGTGCAGTCTGAACGCAGCGAAGGGAAGGGGAGCAATAGATGTGGTCGATAATGGTATTGCTCTCTAATAAGGCTTCACCTGCAAAGAAAGCCACAAAAGAATCAGTGTGACGGATTTACTCAGTCTCACTTCAACGCGCAGTGTGAGAGCGTGCCGAGTAGTAAGCCCTGTAAGCCCCTCTTTCCCAGCTGGGGCTCACATAGAGCCCGTATTTTCAGGCTTTGTTTATTTCTAACAAAACCCCTCATCGGTGTTCCGGTGAGAGCAAGCGACAGAGCCCTTCTTGTCTTTTCTTTCCCTTCTCTCTGGTGCTAACAAGTGGTAAAGCCTTCAGCTAGGAAATATTTAGAAACAGGACAACACTCTGGCTTCAAGTTTGTGACAGAGGATTTATTTTATGAAAATGAGGTCTTGTTTTAATTTTATTCTGTGCTAACCAAAATCTCAACATGTCGTATTCTTAGACACCAGAGATAAATCCCAACACCTCATGCTTTAATGCTATCCTCATAAAATCCACTTCTTTAAAAAAATTATTATTATCAATTTAGTTTTTAGAGACAGGGCTTTGCTCTGTCGCTCAGGCTGGAGTGCCGGGGTGTGATCATAGCGCATTGTAGCCTCGAACTCCAGGTCTCAAGCAATCCTCCTGCCTCAGCCTCTCAAAGTGCTGGATCATAGGTAAGAACCACCACACCTAGCCTAGAATTCAGTTATTTTGTCTACTGGATTAAATCCAAACACCTTAATATGGTAGCCAAGGTCTTCCGTGAACTTGCCTTTATCCATCTTGCCAGGCTCATCTCTGCTTTCTGCTTTGCCTTACAATTTATACTCTAGAAACAAGACACTTTATTCCCCTGCATTCCTGAGGCTGTTTCTCAAGTCTAAGACTGTTGATGTTGTCCTTTCCACTGCGAATGCCCTTTCCTCACCCTGCTCCTTCTTTGCCCAGCTAACTTCTAGTTCAGCTCCCAGCTTACCTCTTCTCTTAGATGTCTTTTTGTGTTTCCATAATATTCTGTGTCTGTGCATAGCTCTATGTATATCATATTGAACGATATTTACCCACAGATAAGTTTGTTTCCCTGACTCACACTTGGGTTCCCAACATCTAGTCCAATACCTTGCACAAAGTAAGTGATCACTAAATATCTGCTAAGCGACTGGACAGGAAAGTACTAGCTCCCTGTGGCAGTCATGGAATGGGCTTGCAAAGAACTGGGCATCTTCAAAGGATCAGTTGGCCTCTATAAATTCAGCAACTGCAGGGTCCCTCTTTGTGGGTCAACATGGCCAGGGGGAGACCTGTGTTAATTCTAGCTAAATAATTATAAGCTTACTTGGCTCAGAGTATACTGAAGTTTATACACTGAACTAAAGTATATTATTGGTACAGTTAATTATAAATCAAACGGCAATGGGAGGCCTAAGGTAAAGACCATCCGAGAGCGCAGTAACACCGGGGAACACCGAGGGGTGGCTGCAGAGCAGACAATACTGCTCTAGTCCCACGAATGCCTTCTCAACACGGAGACTGCATGAGGGCCTCGTAAAGAGGGCTTATGCAAAGATCTCTGAGAAGGGAGGCGACCTCTGCTCACAAGACCCAGGAGAGTCTTTGCAGATGGGAGCTGGCAAGGAGGAGAAAAGCCTTGCAGGACAGAGATCACACAACGCCTTGGGCTCTGCCTAGGTTCTCGGAATATGGAGAGACTTTAACTGCTCTAAAACCCCCTGATGCATTGGGTGTGGTCAGATCCAGTGGCTCCTCATCTGCTAGTACTTCTGATGCAGCAGCGTCCTGATAACAATTGGTGATAAACTCCAATATAACTCCAACAGAGTACTAGTTCAGCACGTCTTAGAAGGATTTCAAGTGCTGTTAAATGCTCAGAGCACTAGTTTAGCACATCTTAGAAGGATCTCAAGTGCTCTCCCCGCCCCCATCTTACCTACCTCTTCACCCTTCCCTTCCATGCCCATAAGATCAGTGAGATTATGCTTATAATAAAAGTGTCTGGAGCCCAGAGCTCGCAGCCAACGTAATTCCCACGCTTGCGCTGGTCCCCTGGACCCACGCTGTAAATTCTACTCTTGTGTCTCCGTCTTTATTTCCTTTTCTCAATCCCTTGTCACCGACAGGACTAAGGGCACCCACGTACGGGGCTGGTGCTGGTACCCAACACCCCTTCCTCACTCTTGTCCTCTTCCCACAGCCATGTGGGCAAATGCTGCTGTCCTGAACTAGAGGCTGACTTGTCTGCTACATCCAACAGTGAACAAAGTAACCCAAGCCTGACCTTCCCCATGACTTGGTCACGTGCTCCTCAGTAAGGACCACACCTCGTTCACTTTGGTCAACCAACACAGGGTCAAGCACAGCATCCTAGACTTAATGGTTGTATAATAAGTTCCTTTTGAATTGAGGAAATATATTGCTTGTAGGAAAGTTATAGAAACCCCCAGGAAGTGTCCTGCGTATCCATGGTACCAGTGTTTTGAAGGAGAAGACAAGAAATGCCTGGAGTGCAGTCACTCAGGATACTTACCCACCAGTCTCGCTTGCATGCATCCAAATACAGTGATGGGAGCATCTTTCTCATAATCTCGGAAACCACCGCTCCGCTGAGGTAAACTATGAGGCATGTTCAGGTTGGTGCGTATGTAGCGGCCTGAAAAATAAAAAGGTTAGACAGAGGATACATAAATGTCTTGTTTACTTGGGACGCCCTTACTGATGCTGACATTCTCCGCCCCCATTCCTTCTTGGCCAGAGAGATCACAGTGAGCTCTCTGGAGCTGATGGAAAATATCAAGGCTGACATTTTGTTTCATAAAGTGACTTGGAATCCACTCTTCCATTCTACTGACAAAAGTCACGTGAGATAGTTTCTCAGTGGACGTAATAACCAAGCACTCTAAGGCAGGTGAAATTCCCTGGTTCTACAAGCCTCCGTATCTTAAAATGCCATTCAAATGAAAACGGAACCCAGCAAGCCAACGAGATTTCATGGCAGGAACTCTGGCCATAGGATCAGGGTATGTTTCTGCTGCCGACTTTGCCATATGACCTTGGGCCAGACATCTGTCATCTTTGGTCCCTGGTATCCAAGTTTATAGAATGGGGACAAGAACACTACTTCTTCCCTAAAGCTCAAGACAATCAGGAGGGACTTATGGATGACAGACATTTTCTACAGCATACAGAACTATAAATGACTCCATCTGGATAACTGTAGCTTGACTGTGCCCCTAGAGGCCACTATGGGTATGCCAGTGCTGAGCAGGCCCACCAACAACTCACCTTTGGCATCAAAACACTGGGACAGCCAGTACTTCCCAAACACAACGTCCATCCTCTCACCATGCCGACATACAAAGAGGCATCGCTTTTGGGGGCCGGGCTGGCTGTTGACCCTTAGAGGCTGCAGAGAAAGAAAGGCCATGAGTGAAGACACACATGGCAAAGTGGACATGTCTTGGAGTCAGGTGCCAGGTAAGCTGAGCTCTATTACCAAAGTTCTGCCAAGATATGACTTGGACAAACCTCTTAACTGCCTTGGATTGAGATTGGCATATCCGTACAGTAAGGACAGTAAGACTCATCCTACAGACCTCATAAGTTATTTTGAGGCTCAAATGAGATAAACTGCATGTGCTGTATAAAATAAGAAGAGTTGCCGGGCGCGGTGGCTCAAGCCTGTAATCCCAGCACTTTGGGAGGCCGAGGCGGGTGGATCACGAGGTCAAGAGATCGAGACCATCCTGGTCAACATGGTGAAACCCCGTCTCTATTAAATATACAAAAATTCAGCTGGGCATGGTGGCGCGTGTCTGTAATCCCAGCTACTGAGGAGGCTGAGGCAGGAGAATTGCTTGAACCCAGGAGGCGGAGGTTGCGGTGAGCCGAGATCGTGCCATTGCACTCCAGCCTGGGTAACAAGAGCGAAACTCCGTCTCAAAAAAAAAAAAAAAAAAAAAAAAAAATAAGAGTTATGAAAAAGACATTACTGTTGCCACTGCTTATTTTTAGGAATAGCGTTTGGCCATTACTAAAACATGACATCCACTTTATGTTACAGCTCAGAGCTAAAACTAACTATTCATGTAGAGATAGTCATCTAGTGGGACACCTTCCTACCCAAAAGGGGTGACTCAGCTTCTTCAGGGAGTGAGTACGTCTATGATCACAAATGCGTCCACCTCTTCTCTGAAGTGTGTGGCCAGACCACATGGTCCTCACGGTCCACTCCAGCAATGAGGCCCTGTTTTCCTATTCTAATCACTGTGTAGGCTCTTCTGTCTGACTGTATGTACATTGGTGACCCCCAAAATGAGACAGCTGCTACCTCTGGGTGATGACATAGGCGAATCTAGTGAAAGGCATGTCCAAATGACTTTGGCTTCTATAACTGCTGGATGGAACCTTACAGATGTTTTTACATTCCTTCTTTCTGATATAGTCAGCTTTTCCAGTTTCCTTACTGCTGGCCAGCACTTCACATTTGCTCCTAGTTGCCCTGACGTTAATTCGTGGAATGATGGCATGATCCCTCCCACTTCTTTTCCTATTGTTCCTTAATTTAAATCCTGGGCTCCAGCCACAACGGTCTACTCCCTTGATCCTCAACATGCCTGAACTTTCAACTTGCCTCTATTTGTACTATTTTGGCAACTACTCCCCCACTGCTTCCATCACCAACCTTTCTTGAAAAAGGTAACACATACCGAGCACTCATTATATGCCAATTATTGTGCTAAGAGCCCTATTTTATTTTCTTTCTTTTTTTTTTTTTTACTTTTTTTCTTTTTTTACCTTTTTCTCTCTTTTTTCTTTTGTGCATAAGCAAGATTATTATTTTCTTTAATCTTTGTAACAACCTACAAAACAGATACAACTATGGGCATTATTTCTACTTAAGAGATAAAATCTCCCCCTCTCTCTGTGGAATGACCTTTCTTATGAGCCTAGGTTTAAATGCTGGAAGTCACTGTCAGTACTGCTCATCTGATTCTTCCTAGCCTTGAATTTTTGTATATCTTTTCTAATTTGGCGTACTTTCTTCCCAGGAGATCACTGAACCTTTGGGGACAGCAAGGGCAATGCCTCATACTTAATAAATAGGTTCTCAGTGAATCCTAGTTAGAGTTGGGGGTGTGACCCTAACAATTGGGCTTACCTGCATGGGCTGGCAAATGATAGTAAGAGGAGTCGTCTCTCCGAGCCCCTGGTCCTCATACGGCCGCCTCTCCAATACTCCATCCCCAAATGTGAGAGAGTTGGAAGACGATGTGCTTAAGATTGAGTAAGAACTGCAGAGGAAAATAAGGAAGTATTAACTGCTCTAGCCAGGGGTCACCAGTACTTCCTCTTCGGCTCAGGACTGTGGGAATTAACTCATAGCCCTCTGTGGGCAGTGCAATGGGGGAAGCTGAGCAAGGGTGGCTCCATTCCTAAGGGAGGAACATCTTGTTTCATACTGAAGTCTTGCAGTTAATAAATTAGAGGTAGGCTGGGTGTGGTAACTCACACCTGTAATCCCAGCACTTTGGGAGGCTGAGGCAGGCAGATCACTTAAGGTCAGGAGTTTGAGACCAGCCTGGCCAACATGGTGAAACCCCATCTCTACTGAAAATACAAAAAATTAAATGGGTGTGGTGGTACATGCCTGTAGTCCCAGCTACTCAGGAGGCTGAGGTACGAGAATCACTTGAACTTGGGAGGCGGAGGTTGCAGTGAGCCAAGATTGCACCACTGCACTCCAGCCTGGTGACAGAGTGAAGCCCTGTCTCAAATGAAATAAAAATAAAAAATAATTAATTAGTTAATTAATTACAGGTAGATGAGTTTCTGTACTGAGGACAGATATATTCATTCCTCTGGGCAGGGAGGGTGGCAGTGATTTTGTGCCACACATGGTTGGTGCCAAAGACAATTTCAAGAATAATGATGTACCAATTATTTGTTTGCAGTTATTTTTCCGGTTCAAAAGAAATCTACGATTCCTGTTGCCTTTAATATCTCCAGCGGTAATTTCCATCTGAAGTGAAGAATGATGGGCGGGTATTTTCAACCATCTCCACCACTGGGCTCCTAACAGTCAGGGAAACTTTGTGGCCACAGCCCCTTATTCTACACTCTTCAGCTTCCAAACCCTATCTCCACCACAATAACACCTCCAACAGGATGATTACAAACAGAATTATTTCAGAGAAGACTATTCTCACCAGAGGTTTAGGGCTGTGAGCCAAGAACTCTCATTTCTGAGTGTAACACTCTAACTACAGAAGCCCAAAAGAGGTCTTACTGAAAGGAAGACCGTCAAAACCTGCCAAGCTTGAATGACTGTGAATAGTAAGACTTCCGCAAAGCTTTATCCAATAAACATTGCAATTTAAATATGGTTGTTAGGTGAGTCCAATGAACATCTTTGGAATCACTGAGCTGAGTCCAGGGGGAACATTTACATTTTGTAAATTTCTTGCTTCTTTACAATTTGAGTAGCCGTCTATCCCAGTTTCCTCCTATACTCCTGGCTTGTCTCTGTTGACCCAGCAACCTATCTAGGCCACCACCTGTTCTGGATTCTCTTTTAACATTGTATTATCAGAATTTTATCTTATTTTACTTTAGAGACGGAGTCTTACTCTTGTCGGCCAGGCAAAAGTGCAATGATATGATCTCCGTTCACTGTAACTGCCACCCCCCAGGTTTAAGCGATTCTCCTGCCTCAGCCTCTCGAGTAGCTGGGATTACAGGCGCATGTCACCACACCCAGCTAATTTTTCTATTTTTAGTAGAGATGGAGTTTCACCATGTTGGCCAGGCTAGTCTCGAACTTCTGACCTCAGGTGATCTGCCCAGCTCGGCCTCTCAGAGTCCTGTGATTACAGGCATGAGCTACCGCGCCTGGCCCAGAACTTTATTTTTGAAAATAACTTTTTATATTCACCAATACAATACAGCTAACTGGTTGTTAGTAAATTTTTGTTCCAAAAAATTAGGTGATTTTAACTATCTTAGCACCTCCTTCACTTTCTGAAGTGGCTCCTTTTTACTAGAAGTGATAGACTTATTCTACTTATAAACGAAGGTCTCAGAAGTCTCATGCCCTGAAAAACTGGTTTTGAGACCTTGTGCATATCGGAATCAGCAGGGGAATTAAAAAAAAAAACAAAAAACAAACTCATGCCAGGGTCCGCTCCTTACAGATTGTGATTTAGTAGGTCAGGAGTGGGATCCAGGAACCTACAGTTCAACAAAGTAGCATCAGTCCATCTGACGTGTAGCCAAGTGAAACCTGTTACGGTAACATTTAAGTAACTGTAGCCCAAGGAAATCTACACAGAATAATAGACCAGCTATTCTACGTTATTTTAAACTGAGACCCTCCCAAACTTCACACAGTTAAAGAAAATCCAGTTTGGCCAAGCACAGTGGCTCAGATCTATAATCCCAGCATTTTGGGAGGCCGAGGCGAGTGGATCACCTGGGGTCAGGAGTTCGAGACCAGCCTGGCCAACACAGTGAAACCCCATCTCTACTAAAAATACAAAAATTAGCTGGGTATGGTGGCACATGCCTGTAGTCCCAGCTACTCGGGAGGCTGAGGCAGGAGAGTCACTTGAACCCAGGAGGCGGAGGTTACAGTGAGCTGACATCGCACCACTGCACTGCAGCCTGGGCAACAGATTGAAACTCTGTCTCAGAAAAAAAAAAAAAAACCAGTTTTATTTTCTGACTCATCAAAGCTTCAGGGCTCGAAATGCCTAGCTACCTAGAATCATGCTTGTACAAGTCTGCTCCTTTACTTTATTGCAGCTGTGAGGATACTGATAGGGTCCCTTCTCTCCCTCCGTCGGCTCCCATGGCAAGATGAATGCCAGCCTCTTTCCCTTCCTAGCTGTCATTATAATAAAAGGACCTGACTCACGCTGAGACAGCGTGGAGCTGTCAGTTCCAGTAAGACAGCAGTCAGACACTTCTTGCTCAGAACAGTGGAGGGAGGAAGCCGGGCCTGACATCCAGAACCTCTCAAGCATTGGGAGAGCTGGCTTCTCCCTGCCACACGCCAGGCCTGTGCTAAGACCAAGCGCCAGGCAGCTCACTCAACTTCAGAGAACAAAGGGGAGCTTCATCAACTGAAAAACGCCTGAAGATAACTCAGAACCAAGTAAGGCACTTCAGTTAGTGTGGCGAGAACATATTCCCTTAGTAGGGACTCAGAAAACTGAGAAGCATGGGGCAGGGAGCGTTGTTAAAATCATTGACCCCTGGGCAATGTCCCACCATGCCAGCCAGGTCATGCTTGACATCCCCCTGGGGCTCTACGTCCTGAAGCCTATCTTGGGTTAGGAGTGAGAGAAGGTCTGTCTTACAAAGAAGCTGGACTCTGCCTCCTTGAATCATTTGACCTTGGGGGTTAAATAGGAAAGTGCAGTTTATCTACAGGATCGCTTTTATGGAAGATGCATTTCCTTTGACGAACATTAAGTGAGGACTGGCAAACACAAGACAGAAAAAAGAAAATCATCATCATTATGCAAATGGCGATTTTTTTTTTTTTTTTTGAGATGGAGTCTCACTCTGTCACCAGGCTGGAGTGCTGTGACGTGATCTCTGCTCACTGCAACCTCTGCCTCCTAGGTTCAAGCGATTCTCCTGCCTCAGCTTCCTGAGTAGCTGGGATTATAGGTGCACGCATGCCACCATGCCCAGGTAATTTTTGTATTTTTTAGTAGAGATGGGGTTTCACCTTGTTTGCCAGGATGGTCTTGAACTCCTGACCTCCTGATCCACCCACCTCGGCCTCCCAGCGTGCTGGGTTTACAGGTGTGAGCCACCACACCTGGCCGCAAATGACGATTTTATAGTCACTGCTGTTATGCACCAGACTCTCAACCATGTAAAGCTAGCTCTATATTGTAGTCTTCACAACCATCTTATGAGGTCAGTGCAATTATTAGTTCCATTTTCTAGATAAGCAAACAGAGGCTCAGAGAGGTAATGCAACTTGGCCAAGGCCACACAGCTGGTTAAATTGGGAGAGTTATCACTTAAATCCAAAACTATTGGAATCCAATCTCAAATTCTTAATCACAATGAACTAATGCCTAACTTATTCCCTACTCTGGTCAGGGTTGGCTGTGGAAGCTGTTAGTTCAATTTCAGACATTGTTCTCAGGGACATGAGATCATTAGTAATCTCTCAAATAAAAGAGAACACAAAGACCTCTCTGGGACCCACTGACCAATGTCACTCAGGTTCATGACGGCCTGAGCTGTAATTTAGGGCAGAGTGGGTTTGGATGGGGTGAACTCTAAGAGATCAGCACAGCTTCTCACATATTCACATACGTCCACTTTTTTTTTTTTTTGAGATGGAGTCTCACTCTGTTGCCCAGGCTGGCGTGCAGTGGCACCATCTCCACTCACTGCAACCTCTGCCTCCAGGTTTAAGTGATTCTCCTGCCTCAGCCTCCCGAGTAGCTGGGACTACAGGCATGTGCCACCACACTGAGCTAATTTTTTTTTTTAACTTTTAGTAGAGATGGAGTTTCACCACGTTGGTCAGGCAGATCTCGAACTCCTGACCTCAAATGATCCACCCACCTTGGCCTCCCAAAGTGTTGGGATTACAGGCGTGAGCCACCACACTTGACCATACACCTACTTTTAAGAAAGAGATCTGATAAAACAGCAACTCCAAGTACCATAAAATAAAAAATAATGGAGAAATCTGAGAACTGTGCTTTGTCAGGCAAATAATCTTTTAGTGCTCAGTTTATTTATGCATATTTTGCTTTACTTATTGTTAAAGGATTAAAACAGAGACTTTGGAAACCCAAACTGTGTATTTTGATCTTCAGAAGCATTTCTGAAAAAGCAAATGTTTGGGGAACGTGAGACAGATTTGACCTCTAATTTTGTGTCATCCAATGCTGGCGGTTCATGGGCTGGACTGAGGCGGAGGCGGGGTGAAAGAGAGAGGAACGGATTGCTGGGTGGGGTTATTAAGGAAGAAAATATTCTTTCCCATCTGTGGATTTGTGGTTTGTCTGTTCGTGGCTCACTAGGGTAGGGGACCTTTATTTTCTCCTTCCAGGCAGAGACTTGATGAAATCATCTCTCTCTGCTTCTCCTTTATGGCGATAATAACAATGTAAGCCACCAAGCAGCTGGTGCTCAGGGCTGCTGCCTCTCAGCCATGTTGCCACATGGCAGAAACAAGAGGGAGGAAAACAAACCAGCATGCAGGCCCTGGCTACATGCCCGAGTGTACCAGGGAAGCGCTGGCTTTGAGCTGCTCCGACTAAGAAAGAAAGATGTCTTTTGTTTCTATTTTCTCTACTGCGACAAAGCTGGCCACTGAACACGGGACCAATATGGAATGGGGGCAAAATAGTAATGAGGGATGGGTGGAAAGTTATTACCCAAAGGAAGACTGGCAGAGGGGAGGGGGAAAAGTACCCTTTTTCGGTCTAGCAGTTGCCTGTTCCCTTAGACACGGTCTTTGTCGTCCAGGCATGCACAGGCTGTGTCTGAGGACTTGCTCAGGGTCACTTAGCAAATGAAGGATACAGATAGGGCTCCAGCCTCTTGAAGGCCCTTTCCCTGTTGGTCTGGCTGGCAGAGTGGTAATCTGTCCAGCTGCTTTGGGGAGTCAGACCGCCCTGGGTCATGACCCAGGACAAGGTGGCCGGAAACCATAAAGCAGTGAAGACGCAGCACTGGGATGATGCCACCCTTCAGCCAGAAGAGACGGACCCCAAGCAGCCGCAGTTTAGTCTCTGATCAAGGACTCAAGCAGACAACACAGCAAATGGGGCAGGCGGGGGGGAAGCAGAGCAATCCATTTCACATTTTTCCCGTGCCTCAAGTCAGCTCCTTTCCTGGAAGTCTGGAACCCACAGGGTCTTCTTCCCATGGACTCCATTTGCTGCTGCCCTGTGTATCCAGGGTCAAGTGTGCCTTAGCAACGTTTTTCAAAGGGCATAAAGGTCTTTGTGTCTGCTTACCCATGAAATATCCAGGTGCTGCACTCATCAGCCTTGGTAATGTAATTCTCAGGCAGGAGCCCAGAGCAGCCGGTGGTTAAGGATGTACCGTAGATCCAACCCTCACTGGTGCTGCTCTGCTCCATTGGAGACATGAATATGAAGTCCCCGGGGGCCAGCTCCAGCTCGTCGTCATTTTGTGGGGTGTAGGGGTAGATCACCTGTAATGTCTGAAAAAGGAAGAGAGGGTGAGTGAGCCCCACACGGCACCATTCTCCTGAGTGCCTCAAGGCCAGGACTGTATGTTACGCATTAATACTGCACGCCTCCAGAGGGCGATGTGCTCAGGAGTCCTTGGGGTCTGCAGGCCATGAGTAGATGTGAATTCCTATCAGAGGGCACTTGTCTCTTCAGGGTATTGCGGTGTATATGACTGGTGCTAGAAATGGTTCCACACTTTTCTTCAGGCATGTCTAGATTTCCCATCAGGGTTCAAGTATTGTTTTAGGAAACTGAGCTGAAATCCTGGAGGCTCTCTGGTCAACTGCTGTATAAATGGACGTAGACCCAGTTTCCCTTGCTTCATCTGCAATTCACCATGATAGACACTTGAAACCCAGCTCATGGAAAGCCAGTCTTCCATACGGGGGTTACAGGTGGACCAGGTGGAATGTCTCTCCTTCAGGAAGGCTTGGGGAATGAAGTACTCCCCTTTCTATGTAACTTAGCTCTTTATTTATTTACTTGTTATTATTATTTTTTGAGATGGAGTTTCACTCTTGTTGCCCAGGCTAGAGTGCAATGGCGTGATCTTGGCTTGGTTCACTGCGGCCTCTCCTCCTGGGTTCAAGTGAATTCTCCCTCCTCAGCCTCATGAGTAGCTGTGATTACAGGTGACCACCACCATGCCTGGCTAATTTTTGTATTTCAGTAGAGACGAGGTTTTACCATATTGGCCAGGCGGGTCTCAAACTCCTGACCTCAGGTGATCTACCCGTCTCAGCTTCCCAAAGTGCTGGCATTACAGGTGTGAGCCACCTTGCCCAGCCAATTTAGCTCTTTAAACCAGACATGGTCCCTGCCTTCAAGGAGCTTTCTTTAAACCTACTGTTTTAACAAAGACCCTGAAAGAAAAATGTCTAGACATCAGTGTCTACATCAGCATGTAGCCAGCTTTCATCAGATGGGAACAAATGCCCCCAGGCTAACCACAGGCCATGCCCGTTGGCTATTTATTCTTTATTTCTTTTTGCCCTCCTTTCCTGGTAGGTATAAACATCACAGGTACAGGCATGACGGTAGTGTAAAAAACATTTATTTTATCATTTTTTGCTACTAATAGCAGGAGACTTCAATTGTAAGGAAAATATTTCCTATGTTATTTGTTTCACAAGGGACACAAAGACAGAGAAAGCTTTAACAGCTTTCACTGTTTTCTAGAGTCTCAAAGCCATTAGTTGGAGGCCAAGTATTCTGGTCTCCACTTGCATATTTCTAACTTTAGCTTGCTTTCTCATCTGTAAAATAACACTTCAGACCATAAAAGTTGAATGAGACAATCTAAGAAAACACCTAGGACAGAGCCTTGTACACCGAAGGGGCATAATTATTTCTACTGAACCAGGGCACCTGATCTCCCAGGTCACGCCCTTCCTTCAGCCGACCCTGATCCCTGGACCTGGTGCTGGGTAGGCCTGCGAACTAATAGGCTTGCTGATGTCAAAGTGACACACCAGAACATGTTATAAAGGGAGAATTTCCTCCTGGAAATCCCTAAAGAAAGGAGCCAGTAAAGGGGTGATTCTTTTCAGAGGATGAGAGTGATCGTGCACAGAACTCATTTGTACTGCTGCATTTCTGATTTTCCTTTTATGTAGGGCGGCTGTTTGTTTCCCTAATTCTGACTCCAGCATCTTTCAGTTCTGGATCTTCCTGCTTTCTGATTGCCTCCTTACCCTCCTGTCCCTCTGCCTCATACACACTCAAAACACCCCTCCAAACAAGCCAGGAAGGTTTTCTGTGGGATTGTTAAATCAGCTTAAAGGGAAAAAAAATTCACGTGAAACCTCATAAACCGCAAAGCTAAATGTGTGACTTCCCATGAAAAAGACCATTCTTTTTTTCTGGGACAAGGTGGAGAAAGGCACCGAGTCATAGGGAAACAAGACTAAACTCGTGTTCCTTAAATGTTCAAGCACAGCGTGGTCTTGGCTAATAATGCCTTTGGCCCAGTAGTGTCTTTCCCTTGAGAAACTGAACGCGATTTCAGATAAGTCCTCATTTGTCCTACCACATAGGGGAGGTGGGTATTCATTCTATCTCTAGGTTATCCCCAGGGAAACTGAGGCACAGCAAAGGTTAGAGACAATATGTCCTAAGCATAGGGAAGTTGGACAATAAGTAGCTCTGATTTACTGAATGAGCAATAAAAGAATTAAGGCATTGTAGCAAATCAAAAATTGTAACTGAGACCCATGTCCCAATGTCCTTTCTCACTCACCAAAAGCAGATACAAAACCTTAGCCTAAGCTTCAGAGATGTGAGAACATATGCCTAATTTATGCTACATTCTACTTATTCTTTTATTTTATGTTTGGCACCTACTTGTAAGAACTCTTCTTTTTTTCTTTTTTTGGGACAGAGTCTTGCTCTGTGGCCCAGGCTGGAGTGCAGTGGCATGATCCTGACTTACCACAACCTTCGCATCCCAGACTCAAGTGATTCTCCTGCCTCAGCCTCCCGAGTAGCTGAGACTACAGGCGTGTACCCCCACGCCTGGCTAACTTTTGTCTTTTTAGTAGAGATGAGGTTTCACTGTGTTGGCTAGGCTGGTTTCGAACTCCTGACCTCAGGTGATCCACCTGCCCTGGCCTCCCAAAGTGTTGGGACAGGCATGAGCCACTGCGCCTGGCCTGTACTTGTAAGAACTCTTGAGTCCACCTTGGGTATGTCTTTCTTCCCTTTCCACATTGAGATGGAACTCAGTTTGCTGAATGACAGGCGGCCGCAGCCCTGTGTGATTACAGGAGCTGAACTGACTTTGGAGCCCTTTTTATTCTCATGCACAATAATAGCTGAAGCAGTGTTTTGTTGCTGTTGCGCCCACCTGGTGCTGGGTATCACATTAGAGCCTTTCCACATAGCTTCTTATTTAATCTTCGTAACCATCTAGCAAAACACTGTCACCATTTTACAGATGAGAAAACTAAGGACTGGAGATTTATACAAGTAGCCAAAGTGAATTTAACCCTTCCAAAATGATGGAGCCAGGATTCCAAGCCAAGTGTGCTAGACTCCAAAATTGATGCTTTTTGTATCACCCTGTCCTTCCTCTGGATTTCTATTGGTTGGTATATGAAACTGGCATGGCCCAATGTAATCACTCACGTGGGAAAAGCCTATGTGAAATACAAATGGGCATGTGCATGTCTAAATCGAGTGAGAGTCTACACAGCAGAGGGATGAGGCCTTGGAGTTTTCCTAAGCATCACGGTGCCTTGTCGGAGTGTCCTTGCCTAAACCACTCTCCTTCTCTGGACATCTGTTCCCTCACTGGAAAATCAATCAAAACTGCCTCCTGGGGACAGGTCGAAGGCAGGCAAGAAGAGGGTTACCTGTGCGGACTCCCCTGAGGTCTTTCGGCTCAGGTAGAACTGAAAGACCTCAGGGGAGAAGTCTAGTCCAAAGGGGCCGAGGAGAGCTTTATCAGAACGAATGGTAATAAATGAACTTTTACAAATAAGAGATAAAAGAGGCCAAGCTATTTTTAGAAAATAATTCATGTGGGCGCTTGCTGCCTTTTTCCTTCCATGCCAATTGAGCCAAATGTGGGTCACGCAGAAAAGCAATTACCCTTTGAGTTAACTGGAGGGCAGTGTTGATTAGAGGATATTCCTTGTAAAATTCCACTGCCACCTTCCTTCTCTTAGAAAGGTGACTTCTCAGAGCCATCTGCATGCAACCCTTTACTTTTTAATTTAATTTAATTTTATTCTGCCCTCAGAAGGAGTCCAGCCAGCCACACCTCCCTTGTCATCTTCAGGGCTCGCTCTAAGGGACTCTAGGAGATGTCAGAATTCTTAAGTGAGATCAGGCCCAGTCTGCTCAAGGCATCTTACAGAAACCTGCATCAAATGACTCAAAAGGAGGACATCATGTTCCCATCAGCAGACTCAGACAAGGCTGCATGCCCGTGACACTCACAGGGCACCATGCCTAGCCCTGAACTTCTGACTCACGGGTTGGCTCTTCTCTACCGCTTCTAAAAGAATAAGCTTGCCTGGCCTCAGCCCTGGGGTTCTAACTGTTTTTCATTTTTTTATTTTTTCTTTTGTTCTTAACTTAGAAAACCACCAGATCTTTTTTTTTAAAAAAGTAAGTCCAGAGGAGATGTTAAAAGGCTATATAAACTCACAAAAATATCAGTTCTTTGGCTGTTGATAAATTGGGTAACGAATAGGAGAATTGCTGAATAAATGTAAAGTTGGAAGGTTGGAAGGCACATTTTTAACAAATGATGAGGTCTTTCGTGGGTGTGTAGGGATACAGTCTTGCTATGCTGCCTAGACTGCTATGGGACTCTGGGTCTCAAGCAATACTCCTGCTTCAGCCTCCCAAAGTGCTGGGATTATAGGTGGCAGCCGCCATGCCTGGCTATGATGTAGTTTTTTTTTTTTTTTTTTTTTTTTTCTTTTTTATGGTTTCTTTTTTTTTTTTTTTTTTTTTTTTTTTTTTCTGACAGGTTGCCTTTCTTTATTGGTCAAAATACATGGACTCTGGCTTCATCTCTGGCCCTAAGTTACTATCTAGCTTTTGGGCCAACCAGTTAATGTCTTTGTGTCTCAGCTTCTCTTTCAGGACAGAAAAAGACAACATTGGCTGGGCGTGGTGACTCATGTCTGTCATCCCAGCACTTTGGGAGGCCGAGACGAGCAGATAACTTGAGGTCGGGAGTTTGAGACCAGCTTGGCCAACATGGTGAAACCCAGTGTCTACTAAAAATACAAAAATTAGCCAGGCATGGTGGTGGGAGCCTATAATCCCAGCTACTCAGGAGGCTGAGGCAGGAGAATCTCTTGAACCCAGGAGGCAGAGGTTGTGGTAAGCTGAGATTATGTCACTGCACTTTAGCCTGGGTGAAAGAGGGAAAGTCCATCTCAAGAAAAAAAAGAAAGAAAATAAAAATAAAGCAGATCAGTGGTGAGTGGCATACCTGGGCACATCTCAAATTAAACACAGGCTGAGTATTCTGTGCCTAGGAGCTAGTAGATCTCAAATCCACTGCAGCACACTAAATCTTAACACTCAAGGAACCCACAGCCCAAACAAGTCTTGTTTTAGGAGCTCGAACTCTTCCTTCCCTGTGCTTAAAACTCTTAAAACTTAAAATTCTCTACTGGTGGGCGCCTGTAATCCTGGCTACTTGGGAGGCTGAGGTGGAAGAATCGCTTGAACCCAGGAGGCAGAGGTTGCAGTGAGCTGAGACTGTGCCACTGCACTCCTGCCTGGACAACAAGAGTGAAACTTTGTCTTTAAAAAAAAAGAAAAAGAAAAAAAAAAGACAGTATTATGCTTCCAAGATGTTACATACTTGTCTGGAAGGCAATGTTGATTCCCTCAAAAGAAGGATGTTAGTCTTTCTCCTTGTGATGGAACTCAGTTGTCCCACTCAGGCTTCCCACTGGGATGTGCACAAACTCCCACAGTAGGTGGCCTGAGTTTTCTTTTCATATGTGTCTGTCCTCAAAGCTCTTTGAGGACAGGACATTTTAAAATTCCAGTATGCTCCAAGGTACTTTGCATGATACAGATACACAGCAAATATCTGTTGATTATGTCTTTGCAAGTTTTTTTTTTTTTTTTTTTTAAACGTGTTCTTCAACTCACTTAAGGTTAGACTGGTATCTTTCATTAACAACATAAATTTATATAATATTCAAAATTTTCCAATATATTATTTATTTATTCTCTCCCATTTCATCCCTGTAGTCCCAGGTACTTGTTATTTTGAGATGGAATCTCGCTCTGTAGCCCAGGCTGGAGTGCAGTAGCACACCTGTGTCACTGCAGTGGTGCAGTCACGGCAACCCCTGCCTCCCAGGTCCCAGATCAAGGAATTCTCCTACCTCAGCCTCCCAAGTACCTGGGACTACAGGCACGAGCCACCATGCCCGGCTAATTTTTGTATTTTTTTAGTAGAGACAGGGTTTCACCACATTAGCCAGTCTGGACTTGAACTCCTGACCTCGTGATCCACCCACCTCGGCCTCCCAAAGTGCTGGGATTACAGGCGTGAGCCACCTCGCCCAGCCCCATTTCAATTCTTCTTTGCTGCAGTAAGATTGGCAGGGCAGACAGGACTATGGGGATGTTACCCAGATGAACCACTTGTGACCCAGAGAGGAAGGAGGCATTCTGGAAGCTGCCCAGTGAGGCGGGCAGAGGCTGGGCCAACAGACTGCCTTGTTAGGCGCTCGCTCCATTTTCCCCCTATAGGTACCCATCTCTCTGCAGCAGTGAGCTGCTGATTCTGATCGCATCCCTGCACCTGGTAGCATCTGGAACCACAGTGAGACATTACCTCATGGTTAGCAAATCGGATATCCCGAGAAAATATGGTAGCCACCCAGTCACACCCTAGCTTGACGTCAATGTTCTGGGCCAGTTTCTCTAGGGTGGGTAGGTGGCTGGCCTGGAAGTGGTAAGCCAAGGTCACATGCAGCTGCTTCTTATGAGGTTCCACATGCACTTCTGGAAAAAGGAAGAAAAAATCAGGAGTCAGAAGGTGGTGATCATAGCAATGGTGAAGACTTAAGAAGGGGATAGAAAGGTGCCCTGAGAAATTCTGCTTCCCACGTAACAAAGAAGACAAAAGATGTTTCTCTCCTTCACAGCAGTAGAGTAAGGGGGTAAGGGGATGGCAAGAGATTCCAAATCAAGACACTATTCAAGAGATAAAGAGCCACCGCACAGCTTTCCTCTGGGAGCTACGGGTTGGCTGCGGGCAGCTCTTTTAGTTAAGTCCTTCTCACAACCATTCCACTTGATCACCACCAGCCCCACCATTCAGATGAGGGCACCGTGACCTACGGCGATGAAATAATTTGTGTGGAAATACAGAGCATGTTTCATAACTGCATGACTCCCAAGGATGCACTGCCTTCATTTCTGAATCAGGTCTCTTAACTTCTGGGTGAGATTGATGGATAAATGAGGGGAAAAGATGGGTGTTTTCAAAGTTTAATGCCAGGTTTCTCTCAACAGCATTTTGGCTTGAATAATTATTTTTTGTGGGGGGCTGTCTTGTGCATTACAGGGTGTTTAATGGCATCCCTGGCCTCTACCCACAAGATGCCAGTAGTTTTGACAACTGAAAATGACCTCAGAAACTGCCAAATGTACCCTGGGAGGCAAAATCACCCTTAGTTGAGAAATACTGGTTTAAAGTATAGAGAATGTTATTCTAAGATACCCCAAGAGACAAAACAAGACAACCCTACCTACATGAGAGAATGGCTTTTATTTCTCCTTTATCCCCCTTTTTTTTTTTTTTTTTTTTTTTTGAGACAGGGTCTTGCTCTGTTGCCCAGGCTACAGTGCAGTGGCATGATCATGGCTCGCTGCAGTCTCAACCTCCTGGGCTCAAGTGATGCTCCCACCTCAGCTTCCTGAGTAGCTGGAAGGACAGGTGTGAACCACCATGCCGTGTCTCTTTTGTATTTTCTTTCTTTCTTCCTTTCTTTTTTGAGACAGAGTCTCACTCTGTCGTCCAGGCTGGAGTACACTGGTGCAATCTCGGCTCACTGCAACCTCCGCCTACTGGGTTCAAGTGATTCTTCTGTCTCAGCCTCCTGAGTAGCTGGGATTACAGGCATGTGCCACCACGCCTGGCTATTTTTTTTTATTATTTGTAGTAGAGACAGGATTTCACCATATTGGCCAGGCTGGTCTGGAACTCCTGATCTTGTGATCCGCCTGCCTCAGCCTTCCAAAGTGCTGGGATTACAGGCGTGAGCCACGGTGCCTGGCTGCCTCTTTTGTATTTCCAATGAGGGAGAATCATCTACTGTACAGGCTAGAATAATGAAGAAATTGCAACTAGAAGACATTAGGGAATTTGAGAATTTAAGGGGCTCGGTCAGGTCACACAGAGAAGTAGTGGTCCAAGATAGAACTAGAATTTGGGCATTTGGGCATTTTGGTTTTAAGTACTTTTTTAAAATACTGCATTGCCTTCTTTGGTGTAAGTCCCGTGAGACAAGGTTCTTGGCTCTTGCTCACATTGTATCCTTACTCAGCGTATCATGCAAGTTTGCAGTACTTGTTAAATGAATAAATGCACACGAATGAATCTCCTTTGACCACTTCGAATGGAGGACGACACTAAATCTACTTGATGATATCCAGGCCTGCTAACAGCTGGAGAACACCAAGGTATAAGTTCCAGGGCAAAGACACAGTGGCCGGCTTTCCACGCCAGGTAACGAGGAGCTGGACCAGCTAAGCTGTACATGGTCACCCAGTTCTCCAGCTCCCCACCAGGGGGCCACACAAGGGCAGAGAAACGAAGCCCGCCAAGTTCATGACAGCAGGATCTTGGAGTCCTGCATCCCACTGGGAAGGCTGGGGCTTCGGCTGCTTCTCACTCGGTATGCACTCTAAGAATCTGCTGCGGCCCTAGCTGAGACTTGCTTTTCTCATTTGCAAAGGATTTGGGTTGTGTGGCTTTGACATTAGTTTTGGTTCTTGTGGGGATTTAGTGGTTCTGACAATAACTGCTGTGGGATGAGAAAAAGCCATTTCCTTGAGATTGAGGGCTAAGAACAGGAAATAATTTGCCTCTCTGTTATGCTCTTTCTCTGAAATATTAAGCTCCTATGAAATGTCAGGCTTCACTGAAGTCAGGACCCAGAGACTAGTCCTGTCGCCAGGGGAAAGGAAGAGCTGGGACTGGGGGTTGGGGAGTGTAAAGAGGCCCCCTCCCCAAGTACAGAGGTGTCGTACGGTCCTTGTTCCTTCTGAGAGCACTGTGCTCCTGCAGTGATGCTGAGCCACGATCAGACGCACAGGTCCAAGCCCTGAGTGGGGCTTTTCTGGTAAAGAGGAATATGGAACAAAGGGCCTGAGCTGGTGATGAAAATAGCAGCAGGGAACAATGGCAGGTGAGGTATAGGCCAAAGGCCAAGAGACTAAGGAGCAAACTGTGTGGCTCTGCTCAGGTCTTCCTCTTCTCTGGCACTCCATAAACTAAGGGGTAGGGGGCCAGGTGCGGTAGCTCACACCTGTAATCCCGGCACTTTGGGAGGCCAAGGCAGACAGATCACAAGGTCAGGAGATCAAGACCATCCTGGCTAACACGGTGAAACCCCGTCGCTACTAAAAATACAAAAAATTAGCCGAGCATGGTGGCATGCGCCTGTAGTCCCAGCTACTGGAGAGGCTGAGGCAAGAGAATCGAACCCAGGAGACCAAGGTTGCAGTGAGCCAAGATGGCACCATTGCATTCCAGCTTGGGCAAGAAGGGTGAAACTCCATCTCAAAAAAAAAAAAAAAAAAAAAATTAGGGGTAGAGAAGTTCTAGGTCTCTTCCAGCTTTGCACTCAGCACTTGGCTTCCATTGCGCACCCTGGACCGTCCATTCCGGTCAGGGCAGCCTCCCCACTGTCCTCTGCTCACACCCTCTCATGCCTGCCTGTGCTCCTGCCACCCGTCCGCCTGCAGGCCTTTCCTACGTTGTCCTGATCAACATCTTCCCAGGGCGAGTTTCTTTCCTTCCGTGAAGGGGGAGCCACCCGTTTTCTTTTTTCAGAGCTGATGTTACACAGGGCCTGGCCAGGAGAAACCGCCTCTTATTCTCTTCTCTGTGGCACTCCTCATGTAGAAGGAATCCTCATAGTAGGCGACCAGTACCTGGTGATTGTGATTGCATTCTGGAGCGAGTCGACAAAGCCTGTCCCCCTACCAGATCGTGTCTGTTTCCCTGCTGTCATTAAGCTAAGTGAGCTTGTCCACACCTGTAGTCAGACAGGAAAGCTTTGCACACTTGTTCCTCGTCACCTCCGGTGTATCTCCTGCCTCGATCATGCCTTTAAGCTAATTCCTTTGGCAGAAAATCTCAGCTGGCCTAAACTAAGAGCTCCCATGAGAAGAGCAGGAGACATTTGGACAGGATTACATTTTTTAACAGACTATATGGAGGCTTAGGATCCTGTCTAATGGTTTTCAGCAAGTTTGAAGGGTATTGGCTCAGTGGATTTTATTGTGATGCAATATAGAAGTGCTTCCAGTCTCCTCTAACCCACTGAGAAAAGATTGGACTCTCGTGGGGTGAACAGTGAGACCCAGATAAACATCTATGTGGGCGGGAGCTTGGGAGGGAGAAAGGATGGTTCTTTAATTCTGAATTAGGAGGAGATGGTATGCTACAAAGGAATATGTTTCTAGTTCAGTGTGGAAGTCATTTGTGAAACTTCAACCTGGGTGTTAGGGAATAAGCCTTAGACAGTCTGTCTCTCCAAAGATTAGCAGAAGGGAAGTGAACATTTTACAAGGGAGGAAAAAGGTGTGGGGTTGCAGGAAAAGGCTCTGGTTTTTGTCACACGTGCCCATTCCTGCAGGGCCTTCCACCTCCTAACCCCATCCTGCTCCTCCACCACCATTTCCTATCCTTTTTCCTTTCCAACTCTTTGATTGACAGGGCCCAGGGCTGGGCTGGCAGCTGTTGGCTCACCGGTTTTGGATGCAGCCTCTGCAGCAAAGTCAGCAGCAAACTTCTTGAGGACCTCCGCACTGTCTTCCTTTACAAAGAGGCCGATGAAGTTGGAGGACGTATAGAGCTCCAGGGGCAGCGGGGCCGAGAACTTACATTTCCAGCGACTGACAGTGGTCTGCAGGGCTTCCCCCAGGGCATCCACCTTGCTGTCCTCGCACTGGCAGGGAAAACAGGCAGTCTTCACTCAGAGACAAGGGGAGATGGAGGTCTGCTGCTACTTAACGTTGGTATCCTCTCCCCAGAGACTAGAGGAGGCTGATAATGCAATTACTTAACCATCACCCCTGTCTGTGGCGGGAGAGAGGAACTGCAGTCTCCCAATTATTCAGACACAGATTACCCAACTGGTGGATGAACATGGGGAACGCATGACCTCTTCCCTCCTTTCCTTGCTCTGAAGTGGCCCCTGTGAACACAGCCAAAATGCCGTAGGACTGGTCGAGCAGAAAGCAAGAGAGGGGAGCAAGATTGGGGAGATGTTATTCAAAGGACGCAAAACTTCAGTTAGAGAGGAGAAATAAGTTCAAAAGGCCTATTGTACAGAATAGTGACTATAGCTAATCATAATTAGCTTGATTTAGGCACTCCACATCCTTACATATATTCAACCATCATGGTATACACCATAAAGGTATACGATTTTTATCAATTAGAAAATAATCAGGCTGGGCACGTTGGCTCATGCCTGTAATCCAGCACTTTGGGAGGCCGAAGTGAGTGGATGACTTGAAGTCTGGAGTTCGAGGCCAGCCTGGCCAACATGGTGAAACCCCATCTGTACTAAAAATACAAAAATTAGCTCAATGTGGTGGATGCCTATAATCCCAGCCACTCGGGAGGCTGAGGCAGGAGAATCGCTTGAACCTGGGAGGCAGAGGTTGCAGTGAGCCGAGATCACGCCACTGGACTCCAGTTTGGGTGACAGAGTGAGACTCTGTCTCAATTAAAGAAAGAAAAACGAAAAAAAAAATCAAAGTTCTCCTTGCTTGTGAAATAAATAAATGAATGAAGGACAGTGACAGGAGAGAGCACAGCATCCCAGGAGAAGCTGCGCGTTTTCTACTGTTTTGTATCATCTGTGCCTTTTCTTTTCCTCTTAGACGATCAGAAGTTGACTCTACATCCACCCTCATGACAGTTGGGAAGAATGAGTCCCGGAGAGCTGTGACATCACCCTCCTACCTTCCTGAGAGCATTGGAAAAAAAAATACATGTCTCTCAAGCTCTGGAGCATTTTGAGAAAGATCCTGGGATGACTAAGAGGAAATGATAGTCACTTTAATTTTCAGAGTGAATGGTAAAAGAGAAGGTGTTAGGAACATATTATTACCTGAGAGAGAGAAAAAAAGAGAGAATATATCTGGGGGAAAAAAGCAAAATAGTTTTTGTAAAAATGTTTTAAAATGCTATCACTTTGTTTTATCTTGAATATATGGAGATAAATCAACTCTTCTCTATCACCACAGAGAGCTAAAGTGGACAAAATGTATTTACATGTGTGATAGAGAGGGGGATTATATTTGGTCAGTAGAGGCTGGGTGCACTGGTTCACGCCTGTAATCCCAGCACTTTGGGAGGCCGAGGCAGCCACATCACTTGAGGTCAGGAGTTCAAGACCAGCCTGGCCAACATGGTGAAACAAATACAAAAATTAGCCGAGCATGGTGGTGCATGCCTGTAATCCCAGCTACTTGGGAGGCTGAGGCAGGAGAACTGCCTGAACCTGAGAGACGGAGGTTGCAGTAAGCCGAGATCGTGCCAATGAACTCCATCCTGGGTGACAGAGCTAGACTTTCTCAAAAAAAGATTGTCAGTACATAAGCTTTTTGACATCTAGGATTATAGACTAGGTAACAATGGCAGGTAAATATCTTTGCTTTCTCTAGAAAGATATTGTAGGAAAAAAACCTATAGACAGGAAATGGCTTTCCCTGTCTGTAGACTCCCATTTTGTTCCCCGCTCTTAGCTCCTACTCTGCTTGTTCCAAGAGTGGAGCAGGGAAACAGCAAACAGGGGTGAAGCTAGATCAGTGATTCTCTTCCAGCAGCCAGACCACTGCGTCTCTCACAGAGTGTTGCAATCATGGTGCTGCCCTATCCTGGGGTGCTCCTGGGCCTCAGCAGATAAAAGTAGGAAGCATTGGGGTGAGGTGCTCATTGTGGCGCTCACTGATCCCTTGAAGGTCCCTCCAGCTCTGGGAGCCCATGACTATTCCTTCCATCTTTCTGCAAGGCTCCAGCTTTGTTCCAGGTCTAAAGGGCTGGCTGGGATCCTGGGAGCCGAGTTTCCCAGGGGTGGGGGCGCTGCTGCTCACCATAAAGAACTGGCAGAGTGTGATGTGGGGGAAGATGTTGTGTGCCTTGTTCTTTCCGCAGATCTGTTTCGACTGCTGCCAGAAGTCCGACAGCTTCTGTGCTAAGGGGCCGGTGGGACGGAGGTAGAGCACGTACTCCCGGGGCAGGGGGTCATCCAGGAAGGGGTCACCGACGTGGGAGAATAACCTGTAAGACAGAAGTGAGCCAACAAGATGTCGCTTGAGAATAATGGGAGGGAAAAAAGAACTGAGAGACAGATCCACCCTCCATGTGCTCCAAACCCTCGGCACAGCGCAGGGAAGAGTTTTCATTCATGATTTAAAAATCTACTTCTGGAAACACACTTCATAACTAACTCTCAGATGCAGCAACTCCTGTCTTCCTTCTTGTCATATTGCCTACTCATCCTACAACTCCCTAAGAAAGTCCTAAAACCACTCTCCAAGAAGCATGCTTGGATCAACTTCAAATCCTTTCCCAATCCACTAGGACCAACCCAGCCTGTCCCTCCGGTCAGCCTATAATTAAACCCAGGTCCCTCCAAAGACAAGGGAGGCTCCCAGAATGGTAACCTTGTGGGGTCCAGCCTGGGTAGGGGTACCCTGGAAGGTAAGTAGGGTACTTTTCTAAATTGATTTGCCCAATATCCATACACCTAAAGTGAATCTCCAAGTGACTAGATGGGGGCAGAACTTATGAGGGGGGCTCTATCTGGGAATTAGAATTTTCTTTAAACAGCTCCAAGGAGAAACATGCCCTGGGGCTAGAGCAGAGGAGGCAACTGACTTGATAAATGAGCTTGATACAGTCTTTTGGCTCCTGTCTCTTCTGGAAGGGTCCATTAGAGAAAGTCTGCACCTCCCCACTCATCCACATGCACTCAGTTAATCATACACTATTTTCTCAATTTGTTTATCTCATACCAACCAGTCACATGCTGCCTGAACACTTCTTCCTCCCGTGGATGCCAAGGCTTTTTGTCTGAAAGAAGAAATCAAATTTCTATTGTTAGTATTTTTAGGCTCCTCTCAGCCTTCCTCACTGCAGAGGCAAGAGCCGAGTGTGAAGGAGGCGACATCAAAGCCCGTGTTCCACTCACTCCTCTGTGGTGGGGGGTAGACACCTGCCACAGGTTTTCCCCCAAGGGTCATATCGAGGCATATGGAAGTTAGGACTTATAATTAATTTCCATGTAATTAGCATCAGATTTGCATGCAGTCTGACAGCCCAGGCAGTCTATTTTCAGCAGTTTCCACATTAGAGTTTTATTTCTGCTTCTCTAAAGGTTGCCATGTCTTGGTTTTTCCTCCTTCCTCTTCACCCACTCGTTCTTACTGACCCAGATCCCCGACAGAGCAGATTCTTGTTTTCAGCCCCTTTGGCAGAATGTATTAGAAGTGGTGCTGATGGTTTTCTTTTTTCTTTTTTTTTGGGAGACTGGGTCTCACTCTGTCACCCAGGCTGGAGTGCACTGATGTGATTATGGCTCACTGCAGCCTTGACCTCCTGCACTCAAGCAATCCTCCTGCCTACGCCTCCCAAGTAGCTGGGACTACAAATGCATGCCACCATATTTGGCTAATTTTTTAATTTTTGTAGAGACAAAGTCTCATTATGTTGCCCAGGCTGCTGCTAATTATTATGATGACATAGGGCTAAATGCTCACAAAGACAATTGGTTTGGATCAGTTCACTGCCTCCCACCACCCACCTCCAACCACTACCAGGCTGGATCCATCATCTCCGAGTATTTTACAGACATCTTTAGGGACAAGGATCACTGGGTGAAAGGGAATGGCCAGAGCAGTGCAGCTATCATTCCCACATCTGGAGAAACAACCCAGAGCATGACTAACAGTGGCTAAGTATCCGCAGCCTGGTCATAGCAGTGAGACCCAGTGTACAAGCTTACAAATGGAGCTCTTTTGAAATTATACACAGGTCTCCAAGAGCCAGATAGTTCTGGATTCGTATCCAGCTTTGCTATTCATCCATCGTTTCATTCATTCATGCATTCACGCTTACATTTATTTAGCAAACATCTACTGAATCTCAACTATTTTGCCAACACTGTGCTAGGCTCTAGGAATACAGTAATGAACAAGACTTACATGATCCCTGCCCTAAAGGAGTTTTCTGTCGAGTAGGCATGTTAATATTAATTATGCAGATAATTATTTAATTACATTGGTGTTAAGTGTAATGGAGGGAAAGCATAGGGAACATAAGAACATAGGACAGGGGGCTCTAACCTGGTCTGAGTGGCTGAGGAAGGAGCACTAAGAATGGAACATTTCAAGTGAAATCTGAGGGTGTAGACATATCTGGGTGGGGTGGATGGGGCACGTGGTGGTTGCTGAGGTGGAAAACACCTGGTAGATCTATTCTATAGTGAGATGTAAAGATTAAATGAGCCAGCGTAGAGAAGGAGCCTTGGACAGCATCTGACCTATCATGGGTGATCAATAGGTGCTCTTTCTTGTCCCTTCACACTAGGTTGATTCAGGATCCTTGGGAGGGGGAAGAGATGAGCGGGAATCTGAGTTACACTGACACTCTCTGCAAGCATCCTTTCCCCAACTGGCTGCTAAACCCACCCCCTCCTTCCTTGCCCTACCCTTCTATGGAACAATTAGATGACCGATGCTGTGGGAATCACAGGGTTGGATTGGAAGATACCTCAGAGATCCCAACTTCTTCATTTGACACAAGGCAAAACTCAGGTGGAAAGAAGTGACGAAATATGCCTTAAGCAGCCTGGCTGGGGCGATGGCTGAGCAAAGGAAAGCGTCTGTTGTTCTGCTCCACAGAGAGATGGTTTTAAGACAAGCTAAAGACTGTCCCTTCCCCCATGAAAGTCTCTGCACAGATACCAAATGATCAGTATGGGGAAGTCTGCACAGCTAATGAGAACAGCATTGTAAAAGACAAGTTTACTTACAGGGAGACGAAGTTACGGAGAAGCAAGACAGCTCCGTCTGCTCCCCTTGGAACAGCTGGTGCAGAAAAGGCTAGAAGCACAGACACCCACACACGCTCATTCCCACGCTTTGACAAGGTGCTTAACTGCTGCTTGTCTGGGCAGACAAGGTTGCAGCCTTTTCTGTTTCCTCATGACTTACCAGACAATTAGAGGCCACACATCGTGCTTATTTTCAGTATAGAAGCCGTGTACCCACAAAAGAACACAAATCCTGACCTTTTAGAGGTTAGAATCTCTGAGGAATTAAAGTCATCAAAAAAGGACCCATTGTTCCAAAAACAACTGGGAAACGGAAAACTGATTGGTGGCACCAGACAATGTGCTATTTATATAAAGAATCCAATTTCTTTTTTTCTACACCCTTCCCCCAATGAAATATATCCAACTGAAATTGAATTTATTTCTTCCGAGGCACTAGGAGTATCCTCCGGAAATGAAAGAGCTAATTAAGTTATGGTCCTCTAACTCAAAAGACAAGTTTTGGAAAGAGTTCAAAGTAAAAGCTGAAAAAGATAATGAAAGGTTTGGGTGATAAGATGATGATGAAAGGCTAAGGAAATCCAAAGTCTTTGTTCTGAAAAGCCGAGATCTGAGAGGTCCCCGGTTTGGTGGAAGGTTGTCGTATCAGGTGCACATGCTTCCGGGGGGCGGGGGGGAGGAGTGGGGGGAGGTGGCCAACATAAAATAAGCACAAAGCGCTCAAGTTAGCTACCAAGGAAGGGCTTTCTGGCAGCCGTGTATTTTAAAGTTTTTATTTTCATTTTTGAAAGCTTCAAGAAGGTTCTTACCTATCTGAAACAGGGGTGTACAATTCTCCAGGCGGGAGGTTGCAGGAGTAAAATCTCATTTTCCCTAAGGTCGTGAGCCACACACAAACCTTGCTGGCCCTTCACCCACTGCCAGGCTGGCACCGATTTGGGCTAAGCATGTTCCCATAACTCTGCCCACAGAAAAGACTGAACATGGGCACGGCAGAACAAGTCTCCCCCTCTCCACTCTGCTGAAGGAAAACTGTTGCCATAGAGCACCCACCTCCATGGTCCACCCATGGGGCCAATGCCAAGGGCAAGTGGGAGTATGCGGGGTGCACCGCAAACCCCAGTCTGGGCCTGCGCATCTGCTACCCTCAGAGTGACTCAGGAGTTGGCAGAGAGTTTACTCAGAGACTGTCTGAGACCTCGAGGAGATAAAGGAGGCATATCCTTTTAAACTAAAATGCACCCATTGGATTATAGCAACAAATGACAGCAATCAATGATTTCAATAGCACCTTCCTGGTTAGAGCTAGTGAAATGTGAATTGTTGAAGTTTTATCATGTATGAACCTAAATTTGACTTCTGATCCTAGCCCTAACCTTTCCAATAATGTGTAGGGTTCATTTGTAGCAGAATATGAAAAAGAAATAGTGTAAAAACTCTCGTGCCCACTAAGAATGGAGAAGAACCGCACAAAGAGGAGAAACATAATGGCTAATTAAAAAAAACAGGGGAGCAGTGGTCCTTCCCACAGGGGAGGTGCCAGCAGCCCACCAAAGGCCTTGCAGCCCTGGGGGGTGGGGGGATTCTTCCTACTTTGTACCCTCAGCACTGAGGATTTTTGAATTCAAGGTTGGCCTGGCCCCAGAGGCACGGAGAAACCTCTCATGCCCTTGAAGGAGGTTGGCAAGGAGAAATGGCTTTCCCATTAGTCTGCCTGAGACAAAGCAGCATCCTTCTTCCTGCCTTCCCCCCTCCTTTTCCTCCTTCCCTCTCTCGCTTTCTTCCTTCCTTCTTTCCCTCCCTCCTCTCCCTCTTTCTTTTTCTTCTACTCTTTTTTTTCTTTTTTTTTTTCCCCATTTATTTATTTTATTACATTTTAGGTTTTGGGGTACATGTGAAGAACATGCAAGATTGTTGCATAGGAACACACATGGCAGTGCGATTTGCTGCCTTCCTCCCCATCACCTACATCTGGCATCTCTCCCCTTGCTATCTCTCCCCAACTCCCCGCCCCCCACCGTCCCTCCCCTATTTCCCCCCAACTGACCCCAGTGTGTAGTGCTCCCCTCCCTGTGTCCATGTGTTCTCATTGTTCAACACCGGCCTATGAGTGAGAACATGCAGTGTTTGATCTTCTGCTCTTCTGTCAGTTTGCTGAGAATGATGGTTTCCAGGTTCATCCATGTCCCTACAAAGGACACAAACTCATCGTTTTTGATGGCTGCATAATATTCCATGGTGTATATGTGCCACATTTTCCCTATCCAGTCTATCGTCGATGGGCATTTGAGTTGGTCTACTCTCTTTTTTCTTCTCCTCCTAAGGAACCCTTACCAGGAAACTAAATGAAAACCAAAGACAAAGCCCCTGAATCATCACGGGATGTAAAAAGAGGAGGAAAGCATGGTCCCAACGTGTAGACAGTCTTAGAGAGAATCAGACACACAAGCAGCTTCTTACAATGCAATCTGCCAAGGGCCATGACAGAGACGTGCAGGGCGCTAAGAGAGCTCACGGTGCATCCAGCTCCGCAGTGGCAAGTTTCCAAGCCTGAGGCTCTCAAATTGTACCCCAAGCTACTCTAGGTCAGAATACCACAGCAAACTCAAAGAGGTGCCACTGGATATTTTAAATGTTATAAGGGAAACATAGCAATACTCATCATCTGCTGAACACCATATCGGCTTCTAGCTTTAGGCAGTGAGAGTTCACAGTATTAGACTGGGCTGAATTCTTGAGGTCCTATCTTTGTGAAGCTGCAGTTTTAGCAACTATTATAATAAAAACCAAGTACCCAGTGAAAATCCACGTGGAATAGGTAATGAGAGTGGCAGTGCCCCTCTGATTCTGATCCTAAGGCTTGAACAGTTGTGCAGTGCCCCACAGACATACATAACCCATTAGTAAGTAGCTGTGGTTATTTAAGAATAGGCCAGGCGCAGTGGTTCACACCTGTAATCCCAGCACTTTGGGAGGCCAAGGCAGGTGGATCACAGGAGGTCAGGAGTTTGAGAACAGC